ACAAGCTTGGCACTGTGAAAGGATCGACAGAGAAGACAATGATCATCCTCACCTTCCCGACAAAGATGACGACCCGTCTCCCCTTCCTACACTAGCCATCCTTCCCTTACCGGCGACGACGACGACGACGACGAAGAATCTGAGGTAACTCTCTCCGTCCCACTATCTCTCTCTCCCATACCCAGATCTGGGTTTTTGGTGTAGAACTGGTATTGATACCAGTGAACTGGTAGTTTATGATTATACTCATATGTGAGTACTGGTATTGGTACCAGTGTACTGGTAGTTTATCATTATCCTGGATTTTTCTAGATTTGTGATTTTTTAATTATTCCTTATCAGTCTAGTTTTTCTCTCTCATACCCACGAAGATGTGTTTTTTTTCTTGTGGTAATGTTACCACTACAATGATAATTGTAGTGTTTGAGTTTTTGTTGAATGTTATTCCAGTGGTATGTCTATCACTGGAGTGGTATAAATTGTTGATTCTGGTACGGAAGTATACCACTCCAGTGATAGTTGATTCTTGGATAATGTAGTGTTGTTTATTTGACTGCAGTCTATCAACACATTAATATAGTTAACCATGTGAATGTTTTTGTGGCATATTGTGTCTATCACTTTAGTGGTAGATCTATCACTGCAGTTGTTGATCTATCGCTGTAGTGGTAGATCTATCGCTGCAGTGGTAGTTCATTTTGATGTTTTTGTGGTAGTGCTATCACTGTAGTGGTACAAACAAAATCATTATGGTTGTTTAAAGTACAACTACCGTAGTAGTAGTTATGTTTAGAATGGCTTTCTAGGATAGAGCCAATGGATTGATATATCTGCAGTGAAAGTCTTATTGTTGATCTCATCTATCAGTAGTTATATTTATTGGTTTGACTTTTGATTTTACCTTCTTTGATTTCAGTCAGAGCAGTGAGTTCCTCGAGAAGTTGTGGAGCGGCGTCGGATGCACGCTAGGAAAGACAAATCACACGGAGCAGGGAGTAGAGCACGTTCCGGACTACAAGCGAGAGCGATTAGGGAGCTTGCAAAATGGAGCAATGACAATGAAGATATTTATGGTCCAGCAACTCTTAATGTCGAGTTTCAACGAAAGTTAAAGAGGCTTGAGGTGGAAAAATATATTGTATTCATTTGGTTAATCAAATTGATGAAGAATTTAATGGATGCATATTTTGGGAACTTTAATGGTATTTGGTGCTCTATTTTCACATTAGTAGTATCCTTCCCCCAATTCTTATAGTTTAGTGGCGTGTAGTGTATTTCTCCCATACAAAATACAAATGAAGTGGTACATTATAAGTGGCAAATACGAGTTAGAGTGAGAACAATACTAGTGCAATGATATTTTTCATAACAATGATAAACAATAACGGAGCAACAATGCAGTACCACTTCAATGATACAAATACCACTCCACTGGTACACGTACCACTCCACCGGTACACGTACCACTCCACTGGTGCGAGCAATCCACAAGGTAGGTCAGAGGCGATCCCAGGATGGCGGCAGCTGGAGATAGGAGGATGGTGGTGGGGGAAGGCGCTGGAGGAGTACGACGGTTGGAGGGATGGAGGCGGCACAGGTAGAAGGCGTGGATGAAGATGGCGGAGAGGGGTGATGGCGGTGGCGGCTGCGGGAGGAAGAGGAAGATGAAGATGAAAATGGGGGAGGGTTTTGGTCGTTTCAGAGTAGAGGAGGGTTCTGGTTAAAATGAAATCAAAATGGAAAGGGGGCCCAAATGGAGAGAGAAGGAGACGAAAGAAAGAAAAAAGGCAATTAATTGCACATTTGGGGGGAGCTTTTTTCTGATTCCTCATATTCTTTCCCTTTCCAATGTGGGTGAGAGACCCCAAATTACAAGATTAAAAAAAATAAAAAACCAGTTTAATTAATACTTGTCAATGATTGAAAATAAAATTGGCCAATCATAAAGGGAGTGTCGAAAATCACTACTCCTTTAGGGGTTAGCATAGTATCCGACCCCTAGAGCAGCGCTAGACGTAGTTGTGAAGATAAATTAGATAGGAACTCACATATTAACAGTTGTCCTTGAAAATCATAAGTACCGTAGTAACTCGCATATTTATAACTGACCAGTGAAATGCATTAGATTATATGAGCCTAATGTGAGGAGGAAACTCCTTGTTAAAGAGTGGTGGGACTTGCAATAACTTTACATAGGAGAAAATAAATGCAGCCATTGATTCTATCATCCCTATCATGCACATCCTCATAATTCAAAAGCTTTCATCCCACAAATTAAACTCTACCGTTTCTATGTATCTATCTAAGCAATATTCTCATGTCAATATATATTCCACAAATGCTCAAATAGCACTCTCTTCTTGCTGATGCTCCTAAACTTGCAATATATATATGAGAGATTTGATATCTCTAGATTTTATAGATTTACAATCTCTGAAGTTACAATCCAGGATATAAAAAGTAGCAAAAAAAAAAAAAACATGACATTTTGCTAAATCTATGAATTCAATAAATCCACGATCCAAATCTTGTTCTCCAAACGACCCCTTAGTATGTTCTAACTCTCACAAAGTTATTCAATAAACAATCTTACTCTCAGGGATCCAACCTCTCTACGTAATTCTGATAAAAAAAGTCTCAACTCTTAATTAGCAATCTAATTACCAAGAGACTGCTTGACTCCAAGGAGTATGACGGAATTTCCAGTTCATTGCAGTACCATGTAATTGCCATCTGGATAATGCGGCCCAAAGCTAAGCAAATGGTTTGGAGAGTAACTAACTCAAACAAAGAATTGTCATTATCAATTTACTACCATCACACATGAAGCAAAATGCAGGATGCTGTACGTTGAAAGTAGTCGGGGAGAACTTGCGTTGGCATGTGACAATTACCGAATCGTGCGAGTTTTTCTTAGGAATGGGAAGTTAACAATTATGAGATGAGAGGACCCGAGCGGAGTATGAATCCAGAATATGGAAGCATGAACAAACTTATAAAAGTGAAAGAGATTGCTTTACCCCTACGAGCTTTGAGGAACCCCAATTAGTATTATTAATTGGCGAGTTAACTTAAGGCGCCCATTAATAATACTAATAATAATAATATTCACCATTGACAAAGACAAAGCCCACGATCAGAGAATCTTATGAATGAACATTATGGCCACCTTTGTTCTTGGCAAAGAAGGTATCCTTAGGTTTGGGTATCTCGTGAATGTCCATCACTTGAATTGTTCTTTGCCTTTTGGCTTCACCACAGCAACAAAGGAATCAAATCAGTACCCAAAATTTACCTATAATAAACTCTAAATAGTCAAAACTCTATAAGTTGATGGCCGAAATTCCTGCAGCAATTGGGCGGGAAAGCTTTAACTAACGGGAAGGATTGGACTAAAATACCCCTGACAAAAATTAAGGAGAGGTCTGCAATTTTTGAATGGTGAAAAAGCTGTAAAACTCCACCATTAATTATTCTATGAATTTTTTTTTCAAGTAATATCAAAATACAATAGTTAAATCCTCTACCCAAAACCCCAAAAAGACAGTTAGTGGAGCCACCCTACAAAATCGAAGGACGCTATCTCTACAGGAGACAGCAGCAGGGCTTGTCTTGCCACTCAATGGGCAGCCCAGTTGACAGTCCTCGGGACCGAACTAAAGAGAATACAAGAAGAACAGGATCTCAACAACTGAAAACAATCACGAAGTAAGGGCCCTCCCACCGAGTCTTCACAGCATCTACCATCAAGTTGCCGGACAACCACTTATGAATCACCTTCGATGATGGCGCGGGGAATACTGCGAGAAAGCACCAAAGAGATGACATCCCTGGCGACTAGCAGCTCTGCAAGATAAGGATTCGAAATCCCTGGATGGTGGAATCCCAAGGCCAAAAAGACTTACCCATCCGATCCTCGAACGACGAGGCCTGACGAGCTACCCTGGTTACGAACAGCAACATCGAAGTTGATCTTGATAAAACCTTCAGGAGGACCAACCCAACTGGAGAGACGAGAGAACTGGAGGCCGGGAGAGAGGATCTGGGGATGGGGGGAGACTGAGGAATATTCTTGGACTTGGAAGAAAAACTGACGGGCAAGCGAACTAGCTATGAATGTATGTATTATTATTATTATTATTGTTAATATGGTTGATAATTATTGTGTGACTAAAAAGTATGTTTTGTAGCTATTGCATTATAATAATAGTCATGCCTACAATAGTAAAGAGTAACTATTATAATGACTAAATAATAGTTAAAAAATTATTATTATGAGCAGTATGAAATATAAATGTTGCTCGAGGGTTATTGTTCGAATTCGATGAGACAGTTTGTAAGCTTAGTTTCAATTTTTCATCCATCAAACAAGTTGATCAATTTTTTACTCCAGTTAAAATCAACCATGATTTGATATATTGATTTCACTCCGATTTAACAACCATGTCAACAAATCAATGCTCGAACCGTGTCATGCATATTTACTAATATTAATAATCTTAATAAGTATTTTTTGAATCATATTTATTAATATTTATGAATATTATTTTATTATCTAATATTTGATTCACCCTTCCAAACAACAATTTCCCCTTTCACTTACACCCCTGCAATTACCCCTTCACCTGCACTTACTCGAATTCGCACCCATAGTTGCCAAACATAATGTTAGTGATCCGTAGCAATCTCAAAATTTGGCACACAATTTAAAGGAAGTTTTGACGAAACTCTTTGGCGCTCTACAAAAGTCTACATACAAATTCAGTTGCCATGACAACAACGCATAAAAAGCTATCAACAAAAGCTTCAAAGAAGACAAAGCTACACCATTATTCTACCATAAAACCTCCTAACAACAAGTCCTTTCCAGCCCCGTATATGAACAAAACAATGAGCCTGTGTCTATGCAAAGTTTCAAAGTCATATCGAATCCATCCTATTCTGCAGCAGTATGGCCTCTTCTATGTCAATCAATCCACAATTGGGAGCTCATTCCTATCTACATGTCCACACCTTCATTCAATTCTAATATTTGGATCCTAAGATTAATGTTGTGCATATGTATCTGTATTTACCTTGAAAGAGCACGGATCTAGGTGTGCGATTGGTGATCGTGATTGGTATAAGAATTAGGGATTTGGGATGAGGTAGAATTTGGGAATTAGGGTTGAGAAAGAGGATTTCCGGGCACCGGGATGGTGGCCGACGAGCTGGAGAGGGGAAGAGGGGGTTCGGCTGTGATAGAGAGAGAGAGAGAGAGCTTAGGGAATAATTCTGTTGTTATTGCTTAACCCTAGCTTATGCCTAACACAGAATATATATAAACCGACTAATTCCCTATAACTACCCAAAGACTTAACCTAACCGATTTAACCCCAATAGTTCCCAAAATAGCCGACATAATATAAAACGTCAAATAACAAATAAACCCCTAAACACTCATTGTCTGACATTCCATCCCCCTTGGAATCCACCTTGCCCTCAAGGTGGACCTTCTTTCTTCTCTTCCTTCTTCTCTTCCGCTTCTCGCGCCTCCATTTCCTCTCCTTCGTCTTCCCAGTTCCCCACCAGCAGCATGAGATGACCCTTGGCGCATTGATGCCCCACTGTATACCTTTCGTCGCAGTTGAAGCAACGTCCGTCTCTGCGCTTCTGGTCCATTTCCGCCTGCGTTAGCCGGACAAACCCCTTTGGTGGCAGCCTCGACTGGAATCTGCTCGCTGCTGTTGCGCCGGTGGCCGCCGGGCTTGCATTTCCCGTCGGCGGTGAGGTACCAGCTCCTGCTCCCACTCCTCCACTGGCCTTCTGGATACGCCCAGCCGACGTCCTCCAACTAGCCAGCTCCTCTTCCTTGCGCCCTGCAATCCTGAAAGCAACTCGAAGAGAGTCAGGTTCGAAAACCTTCACGGCGGTAGCCAGCTCTGGCCGGAGTCCCGCCATACACAATCCCACCAGGGTCTCCTCCGTCATTTCCTTGCACTGGTTTCCCAGTTTAAGGAACTCTGCCCGATACTCTGCCACCGACCCTGTCTGCCTGAGCTTGGCCAGCTGCTCCGGGGCCCACCCCTCCGCCTTGCCAAACTGGTAGCGTAGCTCATCCTGGAACCTGGGCCACGAGATGAACTCACCTGCTGCTGCATAGGCCCGCTCGGTCCATTCCCACCACTGGAGCGCATCCCCCTCGAGATAGAAAGATGCCAGGTGTGCCTTCCTCTCTTCTCGGATTGGGTGGTTTCTGAACCACCTCTCAGCTGCATACAACCACAAACCCACATCTCCCGAGCCGTCGAATTTGGGAAACTCTATCACTGGCGGTTTAGCTCTAAATACCGATTCCTCTTCATTCTCATACAGAGGGTTATGGTACTCATACCTGCCTGCATTCGGTGGGGGTGGCGGATTCCTCGCTCCTTGACGGTCGTGGTTGCCCGCGGCTCGCTGCTGGGGAGGATAGGGCCAGTCGCCCGTCACCTCCTGATGGTTCCCCTGGTACTCAGGCTGGGTCCTCGACCCGTGCCCCATATCCTGCCAACCTCGACCGCGCCCTCCTCCTGTCCACGGGGTACTCCACGGTGGGTAGCCGTACTCCGGGCCCTTGCCGAGACCCCTGCTCGGTCCAAACCAGCTGCTGCCCGTCTGCGGATGAGCCGGGCCGGTTCGGTTCGGTCCGACCGGTTTCGTCCCAACCGAGTTCGGTCTGACCGATTTCGGCCTGACCGGCTGGCCACCATGTACCCAGCCCGGTTTCGAGCCCGCGGCCCAGCCCCATCTCGCCTCCTCTGGGCTCGGGCCCATCCAGCCTTCCGGGTCACCAAAACTCAACTCCTCCTCCTCGACCCAGGGTTCTTCTCTGTCAGGCCCAAACGACAATGGCTCTCCTTCGTACCCGGCCATCTTCTGCTTTCCCTGGGCCTTGTCTTGGGCCAGGTCCGTCGGAGTTGGTAGTAGGCCAGGCCCACTGAATGCAGGCGCGGTTGCAAACCTGGCGCCCGAGTTTCCCGGCGCCCCACCCGACGCGGCCAGCACCTGCGTCGTCCCGGTCTCGGCCCCGCTGCCCGGCGGCTTCTCCTCCGCCTCCTTCTCCTCCCGGCGCGCGCGCGCCCCGGTCTGCCCTACGCCCTCGTCGCCGCGCGGCGCCCCCGAGCCAGCTGCGGTTGCCGCTGTCGGCTTCCCTCCCGCCGCGGCTGCTGCTGCCTGCGCTGCCCCTATAGCCGGAGCCGCCGGCGGCTCCCGGTTCTTCAGAACTTGGGTTAGCACCTCCTGCGTTGTCGCCGCCAAGGCTCCGCAGATGTTTTCAGCCACACTCTTGCCCATCTCTTCAATAGAAGCCTTGATCTGGTCGCCCATGGCTTCGATTGCTCCGATCGAACCCTTAGAGGCCTCAACTGCCCTCACAGTCACCTCTGTCAAGCTCTCCAACGATGCGGCCAGCGCATCATACTTTTTCGTCGTCACATCCTTGACTGTTACCACCTCCTTAAGCTGGCGCTGCGGTTGTTGCTTGTCCACCGGGTTCGACATCTTCAGACTGCAGTATTTCTTCAGAGAATCGGCACACCAGCCAGGCTCTGATACCACTGAAAGAGCACGGATCTAGGTGTGCGATTGGTAATCGTGATTGGTATGAGAATTAGGGATTTGGGATGAGGTAGAATTTGGGAATTAGGGTTGAGAAAGAGGATTTCCGGGCACCGGGATGGTGGCCGACGAGCTGGAGAGGGGAAGAGGGGGTTCGGCTGTGATAGAGAGAGAGAGAGCTTAGGGAATAATTCTGTTGTTATTGCTTAACCCTAGCTTATGCCTAACACAGAATATATATAAACCGACTAATTCCCTATAACTACCCAAAGACTTAACCTAACCGATTTAACCCCAATAGTTCCCAAAATAGCCGACATAAAATAAAACGTCAAATAACAAATAAACTCCCAAACACTCATTGTCTGAGATACCTATATGCCAATAATTGGCTGTCACACAAGCTGCTTTTTGGGGCATGAAGTTTCCACAACCGCTTCAGAGAGTTGTTGGACAAGCAAATTCATGTACAAGGAGATGCCATTGGAAAAAGGTGAGGGGAATTGGAAGGAAGGGAGTTGGGAGTTGGTGGACGTTTGGGCTCCAAATGGCGAGGCTGCTACTCTGGGCAGAAGGAGGGTTCGATAGAGTTCGAAGTTTGTGGAGATAAAGGTTTGTTTCGAGTGGCTGGATCTAATTGGAAATGTCGAAAGCGTGAGCTCCGACGTCCAACTCTCACCATCATTCATCACAAGCTGCGAGGAAGCTTCGTGGAGACTTCGCCTGAGCTTCGGGACGAAGTTCTTTGAAGGGGGAGGATTGATGCATTCGTGCAGTATTGGCCACGTCATTGTTTTTATTATTATTAGTTCGAGTCTTCGTATTGATTATTATTGGTGTTATTTGTCATTATTGGGATTATTATTGTTTCTTATTACGGAAGTTGTTGTTTAGGAGTTGGTCTAGGATTAGTTACCTTGTTCGAGAGGGGAAGGGTTTACGGGATTTGTCCTATAAAATATGCATTTTGTCTCTACGTTGTAGTAATCAATGAAAAAGAAAAATCACTAATTTAATTGTTTTAGTTTATTTATCGTTTGTCTATTCCGATGCATGAATCTGTCATGCATCATAATTTGTGAACTGGCCTTGCGAGAGCAAGGTAACCTTATGACTTCGAGCCATAAGAGAATAAATGCCAATTAGATACTCTTCATATTTGGATTATGACTTCTTCCATAGTCGTCTTACATTGCCAGAATATAGCTCAAACACCAGGGTGGAGAGGCTAAAAAATCCCCAGAAAATTAGAAGAAAAACTGTCGTTGTGTGTCACACCCTAAACTTGAAAAGTCACTTGACGATGGAAATGGAGGAGGAATGACGGTGAACAGAGAAATCGGAAGAAGAACGTTGAGAAAGGAATGCAAAAGGGAGAGAGAGGGAGAGAGAGATTGCCAAATTGGGGGGAAAATTGATTTTTGTTATTCGTTCTCATCATTAGCCGTTGAGGCTGTTTCCGACCTATACGATCCGTTTTGGATCTTTTACTAATCGGTACCCATAGTTAGTTTGTATGTTTCTTCAGTACAAAACTCAGCAAAAACTTCTAGTTCTTTACATTCAAGGACAAATCGTTACATTGTCATCATCAGCAATTAATCCCCCGGCAGTCCAGGTCGCGAACTCCTGCTCCTGTCATGTCAAAGTCAAACGTGTCAACGCTGTACACAAGCTCACCACTTCTTCACCGAACCTCTCCACCCGCCGCTGGAACCACCACCTCCCTCTGCCACCGTGCCTTTGCCCCCAAATCTGAACCCACCGCCCTGGCCACATCAAAGACAGCACCTTGCCCATCAAGTGTGAGTGAAAACCCCTTCAATGACTCGACCTTATCCTCCGGCAAGAATCTCTTCAGCATACTATAAGCATACCTGACAGTCCAATTCATAAATCAAATGTACAAGTCAGCCAATCAAACAAAAAAATAGAGAAAACCAAGATCGTTTATCACTCGAAACTTGCATAGAAAGAAAAGAGACTTCAAGTAGTGGTGCTCACGATTGAGAATAGAATGGTTTTCCAGCCTCAAGAAGAAGAGTAACATGGTTCTCCATTGAACTCAGAAGTGATCTAGCCTTCTTCTCAGTGAAAATTATAGAACGCCCTCCACTAAAAACAACAAACAGCAGCAGCCATTGGTTACAATTATAAGAATATAGAAAAACAATCAAGAAAGGATGAAGTAAGAAACAGAGATAACACTACTGGACATAACCAACCTGTTGTAACAGCGAATGACATCAGGGATTAACTGAGGTATGGCCGATGCAGAACATGGAAGGACGATGTGTCTTACATTGGTACTAGCCTTCATTTTCTCATTACCAACAAGGCCTATGGTTTTCATGGACGGTTTAAGGAACTTCGAAGCAATCTACAAGTACAGTGCAAAAATCCCAGTCAGACAATGAAAGAAGCATCATGAGTGTTTGTTGGATGAAGAGAATCGCGAGTTAAATTACTGGCTGCTTCTAAATATATCAATTTGCAAAGCATTAGAATCAACTATCATGGATTCATGGGTAAGAAACTAACATGTACCACCCATTCAGGCAGAGTAGCACTGAACAGAAGTGTCAGGACTTTGGTGACATCCTCCACTTTTCCTGCAAGTCACATTCATACAGTTAATACCCCATACCTCATCAGTCATCAGAACAAAACGTTAAAAAAGCTGCAAAAGATCCAACGAGCAGCTGAAGTGCAATTCCAAATTCTGATCACTAGTACTAAGGACATCCACAAACAAATAGTACCTAGGATAAGCTCCACATCCTCTACAAAACCCATTCTGAGCATTTCATCAGCTTCATCAAGGACACGAAATGCCAAGGAGCTAAAATTGATATTGCCCCGCTCAATATGATCCTGTGGAATATTTGCATTCAAGTCATTGTCAGTAACAACATCCACAAAAAAGTTGGAACTCTTTGAAAGACTGAAGGAGGTTGGCTGTACCTTAATGCGTCCAGGTCTTCCAACCACTATATCCACCCCTCTTTTTAAACTGGATTCTTGGGGGTTGTAAGGAGAACCACCGTATAAGCAGCAAGATGCCAAACCCAATGACTCGCCATAGACCTTAGAGTCCTCAAGAACCTAAAAACAGAGGCAGGGAATCAGTAAAGTACTCTAAATCTATTACATGAGCTTAGATCACTGCAACCAACTGGCATACTCAGAACTGACACTTTTTTAAAGACTGGACTTATTACTAGAGAAAAATTAAACACATCAACTTGGCACCCATACGAATAAACTGCCAGAGCTGGAGTGCATCGGCTACTAGTGGCTCTATCAAGTTATGATAGTGAGACATATTGACATGTGCAGTTTTTTCCCAGGTTCGCAATCCCCAGATAAAATTCACCAGCAGCAGTGATTGGAGTTTGCTGTAAGAGCAAATCTCTGTCTCTGTGATAAGCCGACTATGGAACAAGACCTGATGATGCTTCCTAACAGCCAAGAACTACCCCAACTGCACAGCAAAGTCACATCGTACGGTTAAGAACCAAAGCAAGTCTATTGCCTGTACCGTCGACCTTCATGAAAGCTATGGCAACAATGAATGAAAAGGCGACTGATTCATAAAATCAACACCAGTATGGCTCAAGAAAAGCAAACAAGAGTCGTACATCAAGATCAAGGCAATACAAGAAACCAAATCAGAGTATCAATTGAAAACAAGAACAATACCACTCCCGAACCACCGTCAATAGGTGACGGGGAGCAGTAGCGGCATCGTCGAATAATAATAAAGAACTCATTCGAAAAACTACACACGTACCCCTCCAGCGGCGCCGCCACAACACACGACCGGAGAAGAGCTAATGGCGACGGCGGCGGTACCGACATTCGTCGGCGAGATGATTCTCCAACTGCTGTTTAGTGTAAAAAGAATAGCCACATTTATCGCAGTGGTGCTTGAGACTCCGGTGTTTTTCTCTAATGTGCGACTGGAGGTGCTCAAGATTGGAGTCGTAGAAAGAGCAATTATCAGCATTGCAATCGAACGTCGGCGGTGGCCGACGACGAGGATTTGCGGCAGCGGCAGCGGCAGCGGGCGCGGGCAGTTCATCCATCCCATTCAGCAGTTTCTTTGATCGAGTTTTTCTGTCTCTTCTCTGGATTTTTGATCGCTTTTTCCTTTCTTGGTTGCTTCTTTTGATTTCGCAAGCTCAGTACGTCAAAGACGGTATATATGTACGGCCTCAGAGTTTTTTTATTTGGACTTTTTCGTTATTATTTTTCGTTATTATTCAACTATGATTTTTTATATTTAACTTTTTAAGAACTAATTCTTTTCGCGACAATTCAACCTAACTTGAATCCAAATCAATGGGTTTCAGTCAACCCGCGGGTCGACCCGGATCCGGTCGAGTTAGTGGGTCAAGGGTTAATGCGTCATTCGGTTTAGTCCGGTTTAGCCCAAAAATACAAAAAAGTCATTCTATTGTACTTATTTTGAATCCAACATAAAAAAAACAACCGTACTTAAACTCTAACACACTTAAATAACATCAACTTAAATTCAACAGAGTACAAATTCAACAACACTTTGGAACGAGCAGTCCACTGACCCGCTCGGACGGGCCAACCGCCCGGGTTTTCCCGAGTTTGAACATTTCCGGACTAACTCTCAAATGGGCTATTTTAACCCGTTTTCAAGGTCGGGTCCGGGCCAACCCGGATTAACCCGCAAGTCAACTCGTGGGTTGACAACCTTGGTTTCAATCTAATTTGACCTGTTGTTGACGAATTTTGAATTGAGAATGAATTTTACCACTTTTATGTTTACGGGTTAGATTGGTGTGAATTTATTAAAAACTCGCCCAATTTGGTTTTGCTTCCTTTTTTTTTCTTCCTATTATTGTAATTTGTGTCGCTTTAACTTTCATTTAATCGATGGGTGCTCATCCTAATTCGACACGGTCAAAATGAGTTGAACTCAGTGTTCACGAAAATTTGATTCGGGCGTGAATTTTGTTAAATATTCAATCCACTTTACATTAGACATGCACCTAAAATAAAAAACATTCAACTCGGTCAAAGTGGATTGAGTCCGGTGTTGATAAGTTTTGGTTCGGGAACGAGTTTTACTCTCTTTTGTAATTGATATATAGGTTGAGTCGGGTGTGAATTTATTAAAAACTAGCTTCGTTTTATACAAATTTTAGTGAATTTTGTTTGGGGAGCGCGTTTTACCTGCTTATATAAGAGGGGTTCGGAAGGGCATTATTCCTTATAATAAAATCACTTGATTTTTTTATTAATTGAACAAAATTTTAAGTGGCATTTAGAATTTCATTGTATTTTCTTTAATGAAAATTGAAACCAAACTCATCGGTATTTAGCATAATTAGATACGCTCAAAGAGAGTTGAACCTGGTATTGATGAGTTTTGGGTCGAGAGCGTGTTTTACACGCTTTTGTAATTGACAGGTTGGATTGGATGGTGATTTTGTTAAAAACTCGGTCTGCTTCCATCTGACTCCCACCTAAAAAAGAAATGAAATGACTCGGTAAAACGGAATTGAATTTGGTGTTGACGAATTTTGGTTCGAGAAAAATTGTACACGCTTTATAATTGATAAATTGGACTGGGTGTGTATTTGTTAAAAACTCGCCCTCATTGCCTTTGATGTTGTTTCAGCTAGGGGTGGAAATTTGGGAGGGTTGCGTTACCCAACCCACGGTTAATCACATCCACAAAATCATAATTATACTACCTACAATCCGCTTAGCAGTGGTTAGTGGGTAACCAGTACCCACTACGGTTTGTTGTAGGTTGAGTGTGATTATCCTCAAAAATTCATCTTTGCGGGCATGGAGTTGTGGCCACCACCAACGAATCAACGGTTCACAACAAGAATATAGTGATATGCTATTGTGTGATTCGTGGAGATGTAATTTTGTATCTTACTTAACGTAGGAATTTTGTCTTTCCAATTTTGGTATCCTACCTTTGTGTCGGAAAGAGACTATAGTTTTTGCTTTACACAATGCAAATTAATCTTACACGACACACCCTATAAGTTTGCATTTTGACATTGTATTTTAGCTTTTTACGAAATTAGTCATTATTCCTTATATCATAAATGATTTATAATAAGCATTATGGACTTAAATGTAAAGAAAAGTTTGTTATATGAATTTGACCTCAGTGGATTTTGTAGGTTAACCACTGTGGATAGTAGTTAACCACTAATCACACAAGTTAGAATTTTGCTAACCACACCCAACCCACTATCCACAAATTATGGGTGTGGTTAGCCACAATGCGTGCGATTTGATGCGATTTGTGAGTTATCCACAAACCAAAGGCGTGTATGATTTCTTTGTATTTAAGTTTTTTTTTGTATTATTATTAGTGTCATTTAAATTTTCATTATTTTCTTTTAGGGTTAATTGCATGGTTGGTCACTGAGATTACAAAAAACTTTCAAGTTTGGTCACTCGAAATATTTAAATCCAATGGTGGTACTTCAGTTTATTGAAACCGTTCACATTTGGTCACTCTTTAGAAATTTCCAACAACCATAACTTTTTTTTGATAATGGTGATTGAGCTGCATTGAAAGTAAAAAGAAAAGAATGTACAGAGTGAGGTGATCGGAGGCTCAAAAGAGGACGAGCCTGACCACCAGGAAATCCAAAACAAGACGAAAAGGAAGAAAAAAAACCGGAAAGGAAACTCAGAGAAAAAGGAAAAAACAACAGAAAACCACCTGCAAAAAGGTAAAGAACAAGGCCGCCCTGCTAGCCAAATGGGCCAAACCATTCCCGCTAGCACACAGATAACAGCCAAAAGCCAACTCCCAAACAAAATGCCAGCGAACCAGCAACGACACGACCTGCCAAAAGAGAAACTCAAAGCAGCCACCAGAACCAAAAGCAGCAGCATCCATCAGAACCAAGGTTGTCAAACCGGTTTATGCCAATGTGCCGGTTTAGCAAGTGGAATAGTTCAACCGGTGGCACATACCGGTTTGTGCCGGTTCATGCCGGTCAATATTACAAATAAAATTATAAATACTCATATTTAAACATGACATTTAACGTCAATACCTTAGCATTTATACTTGAATCCAACAAATAACATCAATATTTAACTTTTATACTCATAAAATAAATAACAAAATAATTTTTATCAATTAAATTCTCTAAAATAAAGTCATTTTACTTAGAGATTCGTACATCGATCATGCCGGTCGTGTCACGCCGGTTTTATGACCGGTACCGGTTGAAACCGGTACAACCGGTGGCACACCGGCCGGCGTGACAACCATGATCAGAACTTATTCTTTGTGCAATCGCATGAGTCAAATCAATTGCCATTGGGCAAATCTCAATCCACCAACAACCATAACTTTGTTCTCGATTATCCGATCGTAGCAATTTTTTTCATTTCGTATAACTTTTCGAGGACTACAACTTTCATAATATAAATATTTTCAGATTATATGTGAAAATGTGAAAATCAAAGTTAAATTTATTCCCAAAACCCCCTTATAATAACATATTTTCCTATTTTGAAAATTTATTTCTAGTAAATGTTGTAGTACTAAAAAAATTATGCAAAATAAAAAAAACTTTGCGAAGTTCGGATTCCGAAGCACAAAGTTATAATCCTCCAAAGTTTGACAAAATCGAAAATTGCTCATTTAGGTGTAACAAATGACGTTTTCTAGGGGCAAAGGCACGAGAAGTTTTTTTATACATAGGGAATTTCTGCTAAATGAGCAATATTTTTCCAAACGAGCAATTTTTTTATGGCCATCTTCCTAGAAAACGTCATTTGCTACCCATTAACGAGCAAATTTTCAAATTTGTCAAACTTTGGAGGATCATAGTTTATGCTCCGCAATCCGAACATCACAAAGTTTTTTTTTTATTTCGTATAATTTTGAGTACTACAACATTTACTAGAAATAAATTTTCAAAAAAGGAATATTTTTCAATATAAGGGGTTTTGGGAATAACTTTAACTTTAATTTTCACATTTTCACATATATTCTGAAAATATTTCTATTATGAAAGTTGTAGTACTCGAAAAGTTATGCGAAATGAAAAAAAAAATTTGCTACGATCGGATAACTGAGCACAAAGTTAAGGTTGTTAGAAATTTCAAAGGAGTAGTTTGAGTTCATTGAACTCGAACCACTTCAGCTCCACATGGTTCGAGACTTACATCATCGATCTACGTCAGGATCGAGTCTCCTACAGTCGAACCAGTTAATAGTTCGAGTTCCTCAAACTCGAACCACTCCAACCTTAGGTATTTTGGAAAAATATTTATAAGTGTGGTAGTTTAGAATTTTTTATTTTATTTTATGTATATTTAGGGATTTTTTCCTAACCGAGAAGAATCGGTATTACCGTTTGCCGATTAAAACGGTTTCGGTAAGTGCTACAGTTTCCCAAATTTCGGTATGTGTTGCTGCGGGCGGAAATAATAAACACTTGTTCGGCTATGAAGAACGTGACATGTGTCACATTGTTCGAAAAGGGTCAAGGAAGGTTGGAGTTGTGCGAGATGAGTTCGTTCGAGGGGTCGAGCGCGATTGGAGAAGGAAACACAAAGTACAATGGAGCCGACAATCAAATCTCGTGGAAGAGTCGGTCAAGTCGATCAACCTTGAGGGCAAGGTTGGTCTCAAGAGGGAGGAGATGATGGAAACCTACGGTTTCCATTGTTATTATTATTATTATGGTTATTATTATTAAGGATAGTAGTCTTTGAGTCGTATTAGGATAGTTTATTAGGTTTTTCTAGTCTTTCGCTACAAATATGTAATTGGTCCTTCATTCATAATTAGTCAAGAAGAATATTAAGAAAACAATCTCCTAAATCCTATTCCTCCAATCCTCTCAATTCTCGTTCTCAATCCCTCTAAAGGCCTAGGCCGATTCTCTATCCTTCTCTTCTCAAATCTCTAATTCTATTCTTAAATCCCTAATTCCCAATCTCACAATCAGATCCGATAGAACCCTAATACCAAGTTCTATCATATCGCGCCTGCCGCCTAATAGTATATGCCAGTCCCAACCTATCAAAATGTTTCTATCGCCTTGGACACCGTGAAAGTATCTGCACCCACGATCACAATCTCCAAAAGCAAAAAAAAATAAGGCAGATGGGATACAAATGCCTGCGCATGATCAACGTGAGGAACGGGCAACGATAAATGAATTTTCTTTTCTCTATAGTCTCAAGTCTCAACGCGACCAGAAAGAGTTTATTCTTCCTCCAAAGTCCAACTAGAATTCTCGAAAGTAGTCCAAAGCATAGAACAATCCAAAGCCAAGTAGAGAACATGTGCACCCGCCCACACCCGAGCCCACTCCAGGCTATAACAGTAAACATGGTATAGTAAAACAGTAAATGGGATGTTGGGGGTTTTATTTCTTTCAATGTTTCTAAATCAGCTACTCATAATTAAGGTAAAATCCATACGGGTGGAGGCCAAATCAAAGTATGTTTGTATAAGTTCGAAGAGAGAATTGATTCAACAGAACCGTTGCTAAGATTGTAAATGCCCATATCATGACCTCCAAACCTCCGTCTTCTGTGTCCACTTGAATGATCATCTGTAAAGTAGATGCAATTCGATTTGAATCCCGGATAATCTTTGGTAGAGCGACATATAGGAGCATTAAAACCCAGGAAGAAGGCGAAATCACCAATGTCACGGACATGCTCCCATTGGTGTGTATCTTCATTGAGCCTGTAAACCATGAAACCTGTCGTCCAATAGTTCTGAGTTCCAAAGCTTTCCACCTCACCATCTGAGTCGAGATCAGTTAAGTAAACTATACCCAACGGATCAAGTTGTCTGTCTTCATCGCTCACATCACGATCATCGACTTCTCTGTGTTGATCATCATCGACGTAATTCTCATCATCGACATAATCATCATTATAGACATAATCCTCATCGTCATCGACAAAATCCTCCTCCTCATCAGCAGCAGCATTATCATTTCTTTCATAGCCATAGGATCTGGTAACCATCATCAACTCATCTGCTGGACCAACGAGCAAGTAGAAAGTATTAGTGACAATATCAACATCTGCAGCCAAAAAGGACATCCTGGGGGCATCATCATTGGATAGATCACAACACAGCACCTTGCCCTTGGTGTCCACAGCATAGAATTGGTTCCTCCAGAACACAGTGTTCCTGAAGCAAATCGATGGGTGGCCATCGGGATTGGGAATCAATGTCCATTTGTCCGCTCCGGGCTTGCAGAAAGCTAACCGTGTATTACTGTTATTCCGGATGGCCAGGATAATGCAGTCATCCTTTGAAGTAGCGGGATCAGCTGACATTACAACCCTCTCCATGTACATGGACTCCAAATATCTCTTGCCTGCTCCTATTTTCCAGCCGTTGGGATACTGGACCAAATACTCATGGCCAACTCGTTCCGGGTTATACTCCAACATGTCCGAAAACGATGAAATGGGAGGGAGCGCGATCTGCTTCCCAGTGAGGGGGTTTAGTAACAGAGGGATGTGCTGCAACATAAACAGCCATCCGAATGCTGATCCGCGACAGTAGATTTTCTCGAAGCCTTCCACAAAATCAATGTGGTGGTATCGGTTGCCCGCCATGTCCAGGAAAAGACGGCATTGCAAGCCTTGTTCCTGGATGCCGCAACCACAATCAGCATCTTCGCAGTCACTGCAATTGCTACTGCTGCCGCAGTAGGGTAACATCAGCAACGGCGAAAGAGATGATTGATTGAACAATATAGGCTGCATCTCTGCCAATTGTTTCCTCCATCTTTTACAAACTGCTCGAAAGCAGATTCGGTGTCGTAATTTAATCAACCTTTGGTTGACTAGAGCCAATAGCTCCCCGGGCAACTCACTCCAAGCATAACCCTCCTCTGCTTCTTCTTCTTCTTCTTCTGCTCTGTCTTGTTTTCCCCTCATCATCATGTTCGCCGGCTTCAAACCTTACGCTAGATTGGATGGCTGATTCAGAGGGAACCTGGACCCAATTTCAAAAGATGCCGGAATTTTGAATACATCAAAGTCAGTTCATTTATATATAGTTGTTGCTATCCGAATCCGAAAAAGAAGAGGCAGAGTAGGGTAGCAACTACTCCTAATCGGAGGAGGAAAAAGGATTAAACCATTCACACGACAACACCACCAGCACGGCTATGAAAAGGGTAAAATCAAATCAAATCAAATTTGAAATGTTTGAATGAATTACCTCGTTTCATCCACACAGCTTCAACAACACCCAAAGATGGCTCGCTTTGTCGTCTCTCTCAATGCCTTCTTGCGCAAAATTGACTCCGGCTAATCTATCTCTAGGCTTTCCTCGACGGATGATACTCTGTATCATCTCAACCCAGGCCGTCTCAGATCTGGAACTGGAAGACAGAAAAGCTGCGATCTTTGATCCTCTCTCTCTGCTTGGCAGCTGCCCCACGGACGGATATGGACATATGGTCTTTAGTTGTAACTTGTAAATGCAGCGCCCAAAGCACCGCCGTTGGAATGGGAAACAAAAGATATGGGAGCTACTAATTAACGCCCTAACTTTTTAAATTTGTCGCCCTAAAATTACCCAATTTGACGATTTTGTCCCCAATTTATTCTCAATCCTTAACCAAATTTCGCCCTAGCAATTCGTCGCCCGTCGCCACCGTTCGCCCTAGGGATTCTTCGCCTATCGCAGCCATTCGCCCTAGGATTCTTTGCCCATCGCCACCGAATGCCTTCTGCTGCGCCGATCGATGACGCAGAAGAGAGGAAAGAATCTCGCGTCGCCTCTAATGCAGCCGGCCAACTCTGGTTCTGTCCCACCCGCTGCGCCTTCACAAACCTCTGCTACTACTGGGTTTTGCTTCGCTTTGCATTCCAATCCACAACCACCCGCAACCAAGTACGACCCGCAACCAATCCACAATGGTTCGGTTTGCTTGTTCTTCTTCGTTCCTTCTCTAGACAGCGACAGAGGGAGTTGGGTGGAAGGCGGTAGCGACCAATTTGCTTTTTGCAGCGGCGGATCAGAGGTGACGGGCCGACATATGTAACGCAGCAAAGGTGAGTTGGTAGCGGTTGAGTCTCGACCGAGCAGTTGGCGGCGGCGGTAGTCGATTTTTGGCGGAAAGAAGGGGAAGGGGATGGATCGATGATGGGGTAGAATGAAGGGGAGGGGTCAATTTCGTTCAAGGCGGCAGAGCAGAGGTGGTGGCGATTGTGTTTCGCCGTAGCGGAGGGCGGCGGCGGTAGTCGACGGCTGGTGGAAAGATGGGGAAGCAGATGTATCGACGATGGGGAAGAATGAAGAGGAAGGGTTCAGGGGCAAATTTGTCCGTGCAGTCAGTTTAGGGCGATAATTTTAAATTTTTAGGGCGTTAAATAGAAGTTCAGAAAGATATTGGCTAAATTGCAAGTTTGGTCACTTGAATTATTAGTAAATTTCATGTTAGCCACTATAATTATTTTATTCCATCTGTAGTCACTTAAATTAGGTTAACAGTTCAGGTTTGGTCATTGGCCGTTAGTCTCCGTTAACTTTTGCTGATGTGATGGTCAACTCTTATAGTTGACCGTTAAATGAGTGACGTAGCAATTAAAAAAATAATTAAAAATAATAAATAATTTTTAATAATTTCCACCTCATTATTACAATAATTAAAACAAAAAAATGTGGAAGGAAAAAGAAAACCATTGGCTACCTACATCGGCGGCCATTGTTGGGCATCTTGTGGGGAAATCAAACCCACCGTTGGCCACACTTTCACGGTAACCCACCGCCGGCCATTGTTGTCCCTCAGGTCGCCACCGATGACCCTGTACGTCACGGAGCGGCCGGATTCCACCTTCTCTATCTTCTCCGTCGATTCCTTCACGTAGCTCTGCACAGCTGCACGACACACAACAAAAAACAGTTTGGAGAGGCAGAGGAATTGGTTTTTAGCTACCAATTGAATGAATGGAATTACCAGGTCCGAGCTGGAAGAGTCGGATGTAAGCCCAATTCCCGTAGGTCACTAGGGAATAATTGTGGGCCAAGTGTAATTATCACTTAATGGTTTAATATATAAGGTAAATCCTATATTCATTAGGTTAATGAAAAGGTAAATTCCTAATATACCCTGATGGTGGGTCTATATAAAAAAGCTCTAGGATTGGTCCTCTCTCAACCCATAACGTAGAATTTCTTAGCCGTCATAGAAATCTCTATACCTAAAACCTAAAGGGGTCAAGAGGGAGAAACTCAATTCGGTGATTACTACTCAAGCCGCCACCGCTCTTGTCATGGATCGAGGTAGGTTTCCTTGACCTATTACCGATTCGTGAAATCATCTAATTCTAAGATCCATGCTATTATGATTTATGTTTACATCGGATGCTGCCAGGCTGCCATCGCCATGGATGTACTTGGCAACCGAAAGCATATGAGGGTTAATGTTGCTGATGACGTCGTTGTCTCTGTACATCTCTCATGCTCTCTGGGCTCCCATGTTCAGTTCCACTTCTCCTCTCAAGCTCTGCATCTCTCTCTGTCTCTATCTCTGTCTGAAGTTGTGGGTTTTAGTTTGGAGTGAAGAATGAGAAAAGGAGAGGGCTTTATATAGAGGGAGGAGTGCTTTTCTGCAATCAGACAAGTTGATGATAGATATTATTAAATCAGAAAGACAGTAATCACCCGCAATTCTCTGCTCCCGCTACGACTCTGCAGATTAAAGGGAGCAAATTCCATCTCCATCTCGAGCTAGCTAGCTAGGTAGTCGTAATAAGAAGAAGCATATATATGGGCCCAAAGCTACTCAGGGGATCGGAAGGCCGCCCTTTTGCACAGTGGAACAATACAAGAGATCAGGTGATGAGATATGCATCTTCTAGCTTCTTGTTTTGCTTTTTGTTTGGTTTCGTATGTCGTTGTGTTCCATTGGATCTGGGCCTGACGACGGAGTTCTCCATATGATGAAGCCCGCCGCCGGTGGCAAAAAATGGAGTTCTGCTGTCACTTGTTGTTGTTGTTGCTGTCGTAAAAGCCTAGGGTTGAGTTACCGTGCAAGTGTGGCCGGCGGTGGGTTTGATTTTCCCAGAAGATGCCCAACAATGGCCGCCGATGTAGGTAGCCAATGGTTTTCTTTTTCCTTCCACATTTTGTTGTTTTAATTATTGTAATAATGAGGTGGAAATTATTAAAAAAATATTTTTTTATTATTTTGTTATTTTTTTAATTGCCACGTCACTCATTTAACGGCCAACTATAAGAGTTGACCGCCACATCAGCAAAAGTTAACGGAGACTAACGGCCAGTGACCAAACTTGAACTGTTAACCTAATTTAAGTGACTACGGATGGAATAAAGTAATTCTAGTGGCTAACGTGAAATTTACTAGTAATTCAAGTGACCAAACTTGCAATTTAACCAAAAGATATTACAGGACGAGTCACTCGACAACAAGTCAGAAGCTGGGCCCAGATTTGGCATGTTTAACCAGAGTTTCAGTCCCAGATTTTTTGGTCCATTTGAGTTGGATCCTGGGCCGACACCCCTAATTCAGAAGCCGAGCCCGATCTTCTCTTACTGTCTATTGCTGCGAGGGAAGTGTTACTTAAATCTGTGGCTGCGGCTCTTCCTATATATACTATGTCTTGCTTTTGGTTACCTGCAGATTCATCCGACGCTTGAATGTCCATATGGCTCGTTTCTGGTGGGGGGCGGTTCAAGGACAGCGTCGAGTTCATTGGATAGCATGGAAATCTCTTTGTGGCAGTAAACATGAAGGTGGATTGGGATTCCGTAATTTTGGTTGCTTCAATTAGGCGTTATTGGCTAAAGTTGCATGGCGTATCCTCACTGAGCCGGCCTCTCTTTTGGCTCGTATTCTTAAAGGGCGTTATTTTGCTGGTCATCATAATTTGCTGGATGCCTCGTGTGGCTCAAATCCGTCGTGGGACTGGCGAAGTATCCTCCATGGTCGAGATTTACTTTCTCGTGGGTTGCGTTGGCAGGTAGGTAATGGTTTTTCCATACGGGTGTTTGAAGATGCTTGGTTACCCACGTCTCCGTCGTCGATTCCTTCTCGTAGACCTGGTGCCCCTGCTTCTTCCCCGTTTGTTTCGGCGTTGATTGATCCGGGATCTTGCACTTGGAATATGGCAGCCTTGCGTCTGTTTTTCAGTGCTGATACTGTCAAGCTCATCTCTTCTATTCCTCTTCCGCAAATCCAAATCCCGGATAAGTTGATATGGCATTTTGAGCCATCAGATGTATTCCAGGTTCGGTCAGCTTATCATCTTGCTTTTCAATGCTATCGTTCTGGAGTTGGTAGGCCTCATGTAAATCAAATGGACCATGATATGTAGCTTTGGTTGTGGAATTTGAAATTGCCACCAAAGCTTAAATTTTTTGTTTGGCAATGTCTTAATCGGATACTGCCAACTAGGGAGTCCTTATCTCTCCAGGGTCTTGATATAATCCCGATTTTTCCGGTTTGTGGTCGGAAGGTGGAATCGTTAGAACATCTGTTTTTTAATTGTTCATTTGCTCGAAAATTGTGGAGCTTGGTTGGTTTTCGTTCACAGCTTGCAGGTTGGGATAAGCGTTCATTTGCAGGTATGGTTCGGGAGGTGCTTTTTCATAAGAGCGGGAGGGTGGATAATTATTATTTTAACCTGCAAGTTATATCCATGTTTTGGCGTATTTGGAAGAACAGGTGTATGGTTCTTTTTGATCAGCAACAGATCTGCTTGGAGTCAAAGGCGGCGGAGTGGCGTCATCAGGTGAATGAAATTGAGTCTGCCTTCTTGTCCGCATCTCTTTCCCCGGCCATCCCGCTTCGATCTTCTGTTCCTACAGGATCAGCGTTTCCGCATGATGTTCATCAATTCCATACTTCTTTCGACGGTGCCACTGGGAGGGGGGATGCAGGTGCGGCAGCGTATGTGATTGGGGACGGTTCGTCTGATGCAGGGATGGTGTTTCCAATTGCAGCTGCAGCAACCATTTATGCAGGGATTAAAGATGCTCATGTTTTGGAGACCCTAGCTATTCGGGATTGTCTCAAGGAATGCAGCACAAGACAGCTCACATCGCTTCTTATTACGGGCGACGCGAAGGTTATCCTGGATAAATGTTTGGCAGGGGATTTCAATGATTCTAAGGTTGGCGCAATTTTGCGTGAGATCAAAGCCTTGTTGGCTGGTTTTGGGGGGTATTGTGATCTACGTTTCGTAGGTCGTCATAGGAACAGGGAGGCTCATTTAGTAGCCAAAAAGTCCTTGAGTTTATCGCCTCGGGTCCTGTCGAGGTTCGACTATGTGTCTTGGTTACGTAGTTTGTAATTGACGGAGTGTGGATCTTATCTCCATCTCGTTTGAGATCGGTTGAATGGCAAAAAAAAAAATGTTAAAGATGAGAGCTGTGGCCTGTGTGTTCCATCACTTGATCTTCAATTCATGGAGGATATCGATACTAGGGTTAGTATGGCTTCTTTAGATTTCTGATATGGCAAGCCTTCAACAACCAATAAAAAGGTAAAATATACATTGAATTCTGTAAGAACAAACTCAAATCCAACTTGGAGGCAGCTACCACGCGTACATGAGTGCCCACTGGTACACGAACATAGTTGCGATTTGCGAATAACATGAAGAGGTTTCAGGCCATCTGGTTTCCTTGTGGGACTCATGAATCCTTCTCTGCCATTAAAACCCACGCCCACTGGTACACGAACATCGTCATTTGCCTTCCTGTATATATGCCTGACCGTCTTCACCTGCATGCACTAGCTGTGTCTTCTAGCAGCAAACCATGAAGCCCAAGCTTGGACGGATGGACACCAAAGAAAGAGAATGTATCAGCTCAATTTTGCAGTTTCTTCTTTTCCATCACAGCTAGAAGGAGAATTATAGTCGTGTCGCTGTGATTACCCTTATCATGTCATCATTCAATTCGTTCATTGCACTGATTGACCTTCAACTACCTCCGTACCCTTCTCACTGTCCTAACTTGAACAATGACCCCCACTCTGCCCTCCACGCCACCATCTAGCAGGGCTATATATACCGTCTATTCGCTATAGATCGATATTCACGACTTACTTTCACTATTAAGCTGACGTTTGACAATAAACATGAGTCTAAACTCTAAAGGCACAATAATAAAAGCAGTCTAGTGAAACAGTAAATGAGATGTTGGGGGTTTTATTTCTTTCAATGTTTCTAAATCAGCTACTCATAATTAAGGTAAAATCCATACGGGTGGAGGCCAAATCAAAGTATGTTTGTATAAGTTCGAAGAGAGAATGGATTCAACAGAACCGTTGCTAAGATTGTAAATGCCCATATCATGACCTCCAAACCTCCGTCTTCTGTGTCCACTTGAATGATCATCTGTAAAGTAGATGCAATTCGATTTGAATCCCGGATAATCTTTGGTAGAGCGACATATAGGAGCATTAAAACCCAGGAAGAAGGCGAAATCACCAATGTCACGGACATGCTCCCATTGGTGTGTATCTTCATTGAGCCTGTAAACCATGAAACCTGTCGTCCAATAGTTCTGAGTTCCAAAGCTTTCCACCTCACCATCTGAGTCGAGATCAGTTAAGTAAACTATACCCAACGGATCAAGTTGTCTGTCTTCATCGCTCACATCACGATCATCGACTTCTCTGTGTTGATCATCATCGACGTAATTCTCATCATCGACATAATCATCATTATAGACATAATCCTCATCGTCATCGACAAAATCCTCCTCCTCATCAGCAGCAGCATTATCATTTCTTTCATAGCCATAGGATCTGGTAACCATCATCAACTCATCTGCTGGACCAACGAGCAAGTAGAAAGTATTAGTGACAATATCAACATCTGCAGCCAAAAAGGACATCCTGGGGGCATCATCATTGGATAGATCACAACACAGCACCTTGCCCTTGGTGTCCACAGCATAGAATTGGTTCCTCCAGAACACAGTGTTCCTGAAGCAAATCGATGGGTGGCCATCGGGATTGGGAATCAATGTCCATTTGTCCGCTCCGGGCTTGCAGAAAGCTAACCGTGTATTACTGTTATTCCGGATGGCCAGGATAATGCAGTCATCCTTTGAAGTAGCGGGATCAGCTGACATTACAACCCTCTCCATGTACATGGACTCCAAATATCTCTTGCCTGCTCCTATTTTCCAGCCGTTGGGATACTGGACCAAATACTCATGGCCAACTCGTTCCGGGTTATACTCCAACATGTCCGAAAACGATGAAATGGGAGGGAGCGCGATCTGCTTCCCAGTGAGGGGGTTTAGTAACAGAGGGATGTGCTGCAACATAAACAGCCATCCGAATGCTGATCCGCGACAGTAGATTTTCTCGAAGCCTTCCACAAAATCAATGTGGTGGTATCGGTTGCCCGCCATGTCCAGGAAAAGACGGCATTGCAAGCCTTGTTCCTGGATGCCGCAACCACAATCAGCATCTTCGCAGTCACTGCAATTGCTACTGCTGCCGCAGTAGGGTAACATCAGCAACGGCGAAAGAGATGATTGATTGAACAATATAGGCTGCATCTCTGCCAATTGTTTCCTCCATCTTTTACAAACTGCTCGAAAGCAGATTCGGTGTCGTAATTTAATCAACCTTTGGTTGACTAGAGCCAATAGCTCCCCGGGCAACTCACTCCAAGCATAACCCTCCTCTGCTTCTTCTTCTTCTTCTTCTGCTCTGTCTTGTTTTCCCCTCATCATCATGTTCGCCGGCTTCAAACCTTACGCTAGATTGGATGGCTGATTCAGAGGGAACCTGGACCCAATTTCAAAAGATGCCGGAATTTTGAATACATCAAAGTCAGTTCATTTATATATAGTTGTTGCTATCCGAATCCGAAAAAGAAGAGGCAGAGTAGGGTAGCAACTACTCCTAATCGGAGGAGGAAAAAGGATTAAACCATTCACACGACAACACCACCAGCACGGCTATGAAAAGGGTAAAATCAAATCAAATCAAATTTGAAATGTTTGAATGAATTACCTCGTTTCATCCACACAGCTTCAACAACACCCAAAGATGGCTCGCTTTGTCGTCTCTCTCAATGCCTTCTTGCGCAAAATTGACTCCGGCTAATCTATCTCTAGGCTTTCCTCGACGGATGATACTCTGTATCATCTCAACCCAGGCCGTCTCAGATCTGGAACTGGAAGACAGAAAAGCTGCGATCTTTGATCCTCTCTCTCTGCTTGGCAGCTGCCCCACGGACGGATATGGACATATGGTCTTTAGTTGTAACTTGTAAATGCAGCGCCCAAAGCACCGCCGTTGGAATGGGAAACAAAAGATATGGGAGCTACTAATTAACGCCCTAACTTTTTAAATTTGTCGCCCTAAAATTACCCAATTTGACGATTTTGTCCCCAATTTATTCTCAATCCTTAACCAAATTTCGCCCTAGCAATTCGTCGCCCGTCGCCACCGTTCGCCCTAGGGATTCTTCGCCTATCGCAGCCATTCGCCCTAGGATTCTTTGCCCATCGCCACCGAATGCCTTCTGCTGCGCCGATCGATGACGCAGAAGAGAGGAAAGAATCTCGCGTCGCCTCTAATGCAGCCGGCCAACTCTGGTTCTGTCCCACCCGCTGCGCCTTCACAAACCTCTGCTACTACTGGGTTTTGCTTCGCTTTGCATTCCAATCCACAACCACCCGCAACCAAGTACGACCCGCAACCAATCCACAATGGTTCGGTTTGCTTGTTCTTCTTCGTTCCTTCTCTAGACAGCGACAGAGGGAGTTGGGTGGAAGGCGGGGGTAGCGACCAATTTGCTTTTTGCAGCGGCGGATCAGAGGTGACGGGCCGACATATGTAACGCAGCAAAGGTGAGTTGGTAGCGGTTGAGTCTCGACCGAGCAGTTGGCGGCGGCGGTAGTCGATTTTTGGCGGAAAGAAGGGGAAGGGGATGGATCGATGATGGGGTAGAATGAAGGGGAGGGGTCAATTTCGTTCAAGGCGGCAGAGCAGAGGTGGTGGCGATTGTGTTTCGCCGTAGCGGAGGGCGGCGGCGGTAGTCGACGGCTGGTGGAAAGATGGGGAAGCAGATGTATCGACGATGGGGAAGAATGAAGAGGAAGGGTTCAGGGGCAAATTTGTCCGTGCAGTCAGTTTAGGGCGATAATTTTAAATTTTTAGGGCGTTAAATAGAAGTTCAGAAAGATATTGGCTAAATTGCAAGTTTGGTCACTTGAATTATTAGTAAATTTCATGTTAGCCACTATAATTATTTTATTCCATCTGTAGTCACTTAAATTAGGTTAACAGTTCAGGTTTGGTCATTGGCCGTTAGTCTCCGTTAACTTTTGCTGATGTGATGGTCAACTCTTATAGTTGACCGTTAAATGAGTGACGTAGCAATTAAAAAAATAATTAAAAATAATAAATAATTTTTAATAATTTCCACCTCATTATTACAATAATTAAAACAAAAAAATGTGGAAGGAAAAAGAAAACCATTGGCTACCTACATCGGCGGCCATTGTTGGGCATCTTGTGGGGAAATCAAACCCACCGTTGGCCACACTTTCACGGTAACCCACCGCCGGCCATTGTTGTCCCTCAGGTCGCCACCGATGACCCTGTACGTCACGGAGCGGCCGGATTCCACCTTCTCTATCTTCTCCGTCGATTCCTTCACGTAGCTCTGCACAGCTGCACGACACACAACAAAAAACAGTTTGGAGAGGCAGAGGAATTGGTTTTTAGCTACCAATTGAATGAATGGAATTACCAGGTCCGAGCTGGAAGAGTCGGATGTAAGCCCAATTCCCGTAGGTCACTAGGGAATAATTGTGGGCCAAGTGTAATTATCACTTAATGGTTTAATATATAAGGTAAATCCTATATTCATTAGGTTAATGAAAAGGTAAATTCCTAATATACCCTGATGGTGGGTCTATATAAAAAAGCTCTAGGATTGGTCCTCTCTCAACCCATAACGTAGAATTTCTTAGCCGTCATAGAAATCTCTATACCTAAAACCTAAAGGGGTCAAGAGGGAGAAACTCAATTCGGTGATTACTACTCAAGCCGCCACCGCTCTTGTCATGGATCGAGGTAGGTTTCCTTGACCTATTACCGATTCGTGAAATCATCTAATTCTAAGATCCATGCTATTATGATTTATGTTTACATCGGATGCTGCCAGGCTGCCATCGCCATGGATGTACTTGGCAACCGAAAGCATATGAGGGTTAATGTTGCTGATGACGTCGTTGTCTCTGTACATCTCTCATGCTCTCTGGGCTCCCATGTTCAGTTCCACTTCTCCTCTCAAGCTCTGCATCTCTCTCTGTCTCTATCTCTGTCTGAAGTTGTGGGTTTTAGTTTGGAGTGAAGAATGAGAAAAGGAGAGGGCTTTATATAGAGGGAGGAGTGCTTTTCTGCAATCAGACAAGTTGATGATAGATATTATTAAATCAGAAAGACAGTAATCACCCGCAATTCTCTGCTCCCGCTACGACTCTGCAGATTAAAGGGAGCAAATTCCATCTCCATCTCGAGCTAGCTAGCTAGGTAGTCGTAATAAGAAGAAGCATATATATGGGCCCAAAGCTACTCAGGGGATCGGAAGGCCGCCCTTTTGCACAGTGGAACAATACAAGAGATCAGGTGATGAGATATGCATCTTCTAGCTTCTTGTTTTGCTTTTTGTTTGGTTTCGTATGTCGTTGTGTTCCATTGGATCTGGGCCTGACGACGGAGTTCTCCATATGATGAAGCCCGCCGCCGGTGGCAAAAAATGGAGTTCTGCTGTCACTTGTTGTTGTTGTTGCTGTCGTAAAAGCCTAGGGTTGAGTTACCGTGCAAGTGTGGCCGGCGGTGGGTTTGATTTTCCCAGAAGATGCCCAACAATGGCCGCCGATGTAGGTAGCCAATGGTTTTCTTTTTCCTTCCACATTTTGTTGTTTTAATTATTGTAATAATGAGGTGGAAATTATTAAAAAAATATTTTTTTATTATTTTGTTATTTTTTTAATTGCCACGTCACTCATTTAACGGCCAACTATAAGAGTTGACCGCCACATCAGCAAAAGTTAACGGAGACTAACGGCCAGTGACCAAACTTGAACTGTTAACCTAATTTAAGTGACTACGGATGGAATAAAGTAATTCTAGTGGCTAACGTGAAATTTACTAGTAATTCAAGTGACCAAACTTGCAATTTAACCAAAAGATATTACAGGACGAGTCACTCGACAACAAGTCAGAAGCTGGGCCCAGATTTGGCATGTTTAACCAGAGTTTCAGTCCCAGATTTTTTGGTCCATTTGAGTTGGATCCTGGGCCGACACCCCTAATTCAGAAGCCGAGCCCGATCTTCTCTTACTGTCTATTGCTGCGAGGGAAGTGTTACTTAAATCTGTGGCTGCGGCTCTTCCTATATATACTATGTCTTGCTTTTGGTTACCTGCAGATTCATCCGACGCTTGAATGTCCATATGGCTCGTTTCTGGTGGGGGGCGGTTCAAGGACAGCGTCGAGTTCATTGGATAGCATGGAAATCTCTTTGTGGCAGTAAACATGAAGGTGGATTGGGATTCCGTAATTTTGGTTGCTTCAATTAGGCGTTATTGGCTAAAGTTGCATGGCGTATCCTCACTGAGCCGGCCTCTCTTTTGGCTCGTATTCTTAAAGGGCGTTATTTTGCTGGTCATCATAATTTGCTGGATGCCTCGTGTGGCTCAAATCCGTCGTGGGACTGGCGAAGTATCCTCCATGGTCGAGATTTACTTTCTCGTGGGTTGCGTTGGCAGGTAGGTAATGGTTTTTCCATACGGGTGTTTGAAGATGCTTGGTTACCCACGTCTCCGTCGTCGATTCCTTCTCGTAGACCTGGTGCCCCTGCTTCTTCCCCGTTTGTTTCGGCGTTGATTGATCCGGGATCTTGCACTTGGAATATGGCAGCCTTGCGTCTGTTTTTCAGTGCTGATACTGTCAAGCTCATCTCTTCTATTCCTCTTCCGCAAATCCAAATCCCGGATAAGTTGATATGGCATTTTGAGCCATCAGATGTATTCCAGGTTCGGTCAGCTTATCATCTTGCTTTTCAATGCTATCGTTCTGGAGTTGGTAGGCCTCATGTAAATCAAATGGACCATGATATGTAGCTTTGGTTGTGGAATTTGAAATTGCCACCAAAGCTTAAATTTTTTGTTTGGCAATGTCTTAATCGGATACTGCCAACTAGGGAGTCCTTATCTCTCCAGGGTCTTGATATAATCCCGATTTTTCCGGTTTGTGGTCGGAAGGTGGAATCGTTAGAACATCTGTTTTTTAATTGTTCATTTGCTCGAAAATTGTGGAGCTTGGTTGGTTTTCGTTCACAGCTTGCAGGTTGGGATAAGCGTTCATTTGCAGGTATGGTTCGGGAGGTGCTTTTTCATAAGAGCGGGAGGGTGGATAATTATTATTTTAACCTGCAAGTTATATCCATGTTTTGGCGTATTTGGAAGAACAGGTGTATGGTTCTTTTTGATCAGCAACAGATCTGCTTGGAGTCAAAGGCGGCGGAGTGGCGTCATCAGGTGAATGAAATTGAGTCTGCCTTCTTGTCCGCATCTCTTTCCCCGGCCATCCCGCTTCGATCTTCTGTTCCTACAGGATCAGCGTTTCCGCATGATGTTCATCAATTCCATACTTCTTTCGACGGTGCCACTGGGAGGGGGGATGCAGGTGCGGCAGCGTATGTGATTGGGGACGGTTCGTCTGATGCAGGGATGGTGTTTCCAATTGCAGCTGCAGCAACCATTTATGCAGGGATTAAAGATGCTCATGTTTTGGAGACCCTAGCTCTTCGGGATTGTCTCAAGGAATGCAGCACAAGACAGCTCACATCGCTTCTTATTACGGGCGACGCGAAGGTTATCCTGGATAAATGTTTGGCAGGGGATTTCAATGATTCTAAGGTTGGCGCAATTTTGCGTGAGATCAAAGCCTTGTTGGCTGGTTTTGGGGGGTATTGTGATCTACGTTTCGTAGGTCGTCATAGGAACAGGGAGGCTCATTTAGTAGCCAAAAAGTCCTTGAGTTTATCGCCTCGGGTCCTGTCGAGGTTCGACTATGTGTCTTGGTTACGTAGTTTGTAATTGACGGAGTGTGGATCTTATCTCCATCTCGTTTGAGATCGGTTGAATGGCAAAAAAAAAAATGTTAAAGATGAGAGCTGTGGCCTGTGTGTTCCATCACTTGATCTTCAATTCATGGAGGATATCGATACTAGGGTTAGTATGGCTTCTTTAGATTTCTGATATGGCAAGCCTTCAACAACCAATAAAAAGGTAAAATATACATTGAATTCTGTAAGAACAAACTCAAATCCAACTTGGAGGCAGCTACCACGCGTACATGAGTGCCCACTGGTACACGAACATAGTTGCGATTTGCGAATAACATGAAGAGGTTTCAGGCCATCTGGTTTCCTTGTGGGACTCATGAATCCTTCTCTGCCATTAAAACCCACGCCCACTGGTACACGAACATCGTCATTTGCCTTCCTGTATATATGCCTGACCGTCTTCACCTGCATGCACTAGCTGTGTCTTCTAGCAGCAAACCATGAAGCCCAAGCTTGGACGGATGGACACCAAAGAAAGAGAATGTATCAGCTCAATTTTGCAGTTTCTTCTTTTCCATCACAGCTAGAAGGAGAATTATAGTCGTGTCGCTGTGATTACCCTTATCATGTCATCATTCAATTCGTTCATTGCACTGATTGACCTTCAACTACCTCCGTACCCTTCTCACTGTCCTAACTTGAACAATGACCCCCACTCTGCCCTCCACGCCACCATCTAGCAGGGCTATATATACCGTCTATTCGCTATAGATCGATATTCACGACTTACTTTCACTATTAAGCTGACGTTTGACAATAAACATGAGTCTAAACTCTAAAGGCACAATAATAAAAGCAGTCTAGTGAAACAGTAAATGAGATGTTGGGGGTTTTATTTCTTTCAATGTTTCTAAATCAGCTACTCATAATTAAGGTAAAATCCATACGGGTGGAGGCCAAATCAAAGTATGTTTGTATAAGTTCGAAGAGAGAATGGATTCAACAGAACCGTTGCTAAGATTGTAAATGCCCATATCATGACCTCCAAACCTCCGTCTTCTGTGTCCACTTGAATGATCATCTGTAAAGTAGATGCAATTCGATTTGAATCCCGGATAATCTTTGGTAGAGCGACATATAGGAGCATTAAAACCCAGGAAGAAGGCGAAATCACCAATGTCACGGACATGCTCCCATTGGTGTGTATCTTCATTGAGCCTGTAAACCATGAAACCTGTCGTCCAATAGTTCTGAGTTCCAAAGCTTTCCACCTCACCATCTGAGTCGAGATCAGTTAAGTAAACTATACCCAACGGATCAAGTTGTCTGTCTTCATCGCTCACATCACGATCATCGACTTCTCTGTGTTGATCATCATCGACGTAATTCTCATCATCGACATAATCATCATTATAGACATAATCCTCATCGTCATCGACAAAATCCTCCTCCTCATCAGCAGCAGCATTATCATTTCTTTCATAGCCATAGGATCTGGTAACCATCATCAACTCATCTGCTGGACCAACGAGCAAGTAGAAAGTATTAGTGACAATATCAACATCTGCAGCCAAAAAGGACATCCTGGGGGCATCATCATTGGATAGATCACAACACAGCACCTTGCCCTTGGTGTCCACAGCATAGAATTGGTTCCTCCAGAACACAGTGTTCCTGAAGCAAATCGATGGGTGGCCATCGGGATTGGGAATCAATGTCCATTTGTCCGCTCCGGGCTTGCAGAAAGCTAACCGTGTATTACTGTTATTCCGGATGGCCAGGATAATGCAGTCATCCTTTGAAGTAGCGGGATCAGCTGACATTACAACCCTCTCCATGTACATGGACTCCAAATATCTCTTGCCTGCTCCTATTTTCCAGCCGTTGGGATACTGGACCAAATACTCATGGCCAACTCGTTCCGGGTTATACTCCAACATGTCCGAAAACGATGAAATGGGAGGGAGCGCGATCTGCTTCCCAGTGAGGGGGTTTAGTAACAGAGGGATGTGCTGCAACATAAACAGCCATCCGAATGCTGATCCGCGACAGTAGATTTTCTCGAAGCCTTCCACAAAATCAATGTGGTGGTATCGGTTGCCCGCCATGTCCAGGAAAAGACGGCATTGCAAGCCTTGTTCCTGGATGCCGCAACCACAATCAGCATCTTCGCAGTCACTGCAATTGCTACTGCTGCCGCAGTAGGGTAACATCAGCAACGGCGAAAGAGATGATTGATTGAACAATATAGGCTGCATCTCTGCCAATTGTTTCCTCCATCTTTTACAAACTGCTCGAAAGCGGATTCGGTGTCGTAATTTAATCAACCTTTGGTCGACTATAGCCAATAGCTCCCCGGGCAACTCACTCCAAGCATAACCCTCCTCTGCTTCTTCTTCTTCTGCTCTGTCTTGTTTTCCCCTCATCATCATGTTCGCCGGCTTCAAACCTTACGCTAGATTGGATGGCTGATTCAGTGGGAACCTTGACCCAATTTCAAAAGATGCCGGAATCTGGAATACATCAAAGTCAGTTCATTTATATATATTTGTTGCTATCCGAATCCGAAACAGAAGAGGCAGAGTAGGGTAGCAACTCCTCCTAATCGGAGGAGGAAAAAGGATTTAACCACCCATAGAAAACCATTAACACGACAAAAACACCAGCACGGCTATGAAAAGGGTAAAATCAAATCAAATCAAATTTGAAATGTTTGAATGAATTACCTCGTTTCATCCACGCAGCTTTAGCTACACAAAGATGGGTCGCTCTGTCGTCTCTCTCAATGTCTCCTTGCGCAAAATTGACTCCGGCCATCAATCTCTAGGCTTTCCTCGACGGATCATCTCAACCCAGGCCCTGGGAAACTGATGAAGTTTTATCCTCTCTCCCTCCCTCTCAAGGCCGTCTCAGATCTGGGCCCAGATTTGGCATGTTTAACCAGAGTTTCAGTCCCAGATTTTTGGGTCAATTTGAGTTGGATCATGGGCCGACACCCCTAATTCAGAAGCTGGGCCCGATCTTCTCTTACTGTCTAGGTAATGTTAAAGATTAGGGATGACAATGGGTCGGGTTGGGTCGGTTTTGCCAAACCCAAACTCATGGGTTTATCCGTGAAAAAACCCGGGGTAAAACCCACTGGGTTTGAAAAACTCAAACCCAACCCAACCCGCTGGGTATCCGTGGGTTCATGGGTACCCACGGGTTTTTGTCGTAAAAAAATTACAATAACAAGTTCCTATCAAAATTAAAATCAAATATCAATCTCTCAATACAAATTATCCATATATAAAACACCATTCTAGAAAATTCAAGCAAATCACAAATTAACTATACAATTATACAAATTGTTCAACACCAATCTAGAAAACTCAAGAAAATTGAAGCAAATCACAAATTATCCATAAATAACATGATTAATTGAAAGCTTCTTCCTTTCAATTAAGTTTCTTCACTCTCCACTCGATAACATCAACTTCATTCTACACAATTTGAAAGAAAAAATTAGACATGTCTCCACAAACATAAATAAGATTATTGTTTAGAATATTAAATATACCGAGAAAATTAACTATATAGGTGTGAGCGGGTACCCATGGGTCGGGTTTACCTAAACCCAAACTCAACCCAACCCGGTGAATAGTGAACGGGTTTAAACCCAAACCCGGCCCAAAACCCGTCAACACGGATTTTACCCGCGTTGACCGGGTTGGGTACCCGTGGGTTCGGGTTTTGTTGCCATCCCTATTAAAGATGAGAGTTGTGGCCTGTGTGTTCCATCACTTGATCTTCATGGAGGATATCGATACTATTGGTACTAGGGTTAGTGAGGCTTCTTTAGATTTCTGATATGGCAAGCCTTCAACAACCAAAAAAAAAGGGTAAAATATACATTGAATTCTGTAAGAACAAACTCAAATCCAACTTGGAGGCAGCTACCACGCGTACATAAGTGCCCACTGGTACACGAACATAGTTGCGATTTGCGAATAACATGAAGAGAGTTTCAGGCCATCTGGTTTCCTTGTGGGACTCGATGAATCCGTCTCTGCCATTAAATCCCACGCCTTGTGTCAATGGAAATTGGAAACGACGTCTATGATGTAGGAGGCTTACCAGGTTTCTGATGATAGTCAAAAGAAAAGCCTAAATAGAGTCATGGAACTCCTCACCAAATGCTGATTCAGTTTACACTGGTGAAAACTATTCTGTGAACTGGCCTTCTGGGAGCAAGTTGAGAGTTGCCTACTTACATGAAAGAGAAACAAAAGCAAATAACAATACTTTTCATTGTTGGATTATCATTTCTTCAATAGTCATCTTACATTAACAAATGATAGCTCAAAAAATTGGGGGAGAGGCTCAAAAATCCCCAGAAAATAATAAGAAAAAAGCAGACGGCCAGATACAAACTCATTTGAAGACTAGGAACGCACAAGTAAAAGTAATAAATTAAGCCCGAAAATAGTAAGTTCGAAAGCTTTCGTTGTCATCATCAGCCATTAATCCCCCCGGCACTCAAGGTCGCGATCTCCTGCTCCTGTCATGTCGAACTCAAGCGGGTCAATGCTGTACTCAACTCGAGCTCACCACTTTTTCGAAGAACCTCTCCACCCACCGCCGGAACCACCCCGACCGCCACCTCCTCTGCCTCCGCCGCCACCACCTCTGCCACCAAATCTGAACCCACCACCACCCTGGCCACCATACCCGCGGCCTCCACCTCCACCTCCACCGCCAAATCTTGGCCTGGACTGGTCTCTTTCTTGTAGGGGAGGCAATGTCTTCACCACCTCCAAGCTCACGTTAGCTGCATTTTCCGCCCCAGCAAGGAAAGTGTCAACATCCTCCGCTGCCACATCAAAGACGGCACCTTGCCCATCAAGTGTGAGTGAAAACCCCTTCACCGACTCGACCTTAGCCTCCGGCAAGAATCTCTTCAGCGTACTATAAGCATACCTGACAGCCCAATTCATAAACCAGATGTACAAGTCAGCCAATCAAACAAAAAGAAAGAGAACCAAGATAGTTTATCATTCGAAACTTGCATAGAAAGAAAAGACTTAAAGAAGTAGTGCTCACGATTGAGAATAGAATGGTTTTCCGGCCTCAAGAAGAAGAGTAACATGGTTCTCCATGGAACTCAGAAGTGATCTAGTCTTGATCTCGGTATAACCCTGCAAGATGACAATTCAAACCATCGTATCAGCAGAAATGGAATGACGAATCCAAGCTGACCGACCTTACTCAAAATGAGAAGTATCCAGAACCAAGGCAAATACTTACAGAAGCCTTTGCAAGTGCTTTAGCAAGGAGATCCACAGCTGACATACCAGAAGAATTCAATAGTTCCTCAGCTGCAGCCTTAAATGCAGGGATCACACTGCAAAACAGCTAACAACCTTCAGCAAAAAAACAAAAAACAAAAACAAAAACAGAAGAATTGTGCAGTCACAAAGAAAAGAAAGAACAAGAATAATACCTATCTGAAACCTTGGTTATCGTCTGAGCTGCCTGTAGACCCACAGATTGGGCAATATCAGCAGCTTGAGGTGCAGCTACATGTTCAAATTTTATACCAGCTTCCCTCTGTATCTTGGAAATGTTGGCCCTTCTAGGATCAAAGAGCATCACAGCTACCCCAGAATTGCCTTCGAAGAGATAAAAAAAAAATGTCAGTTTCGTTATATGCAGACTGAGGAACAGTAGTGTAAACCATATCAACAGTTAAATAGATACCTGCTCTTCCTGTACGTCCTGATCGATGAATATAAGCTTCAACATCGCGTGGAGGTTCACACTAGAGATATAGAGATCAAAATTAGTTTGTTCGCCATTCGAGGTAATATTAAGCTTTACAATATTTACACATAAACTTCCATGAAAACCTGGCATACCTGGATGATCAATTGAACATCATTGATATCCAATCCCCTTGCAGCCACATTGGTTGCAACAAGTGTCATGAACTTGCCAGACTTAAACCCAGAAAGAGTCACCTAAAAGAATCAGCAATGAAATTAGCAAAGAAAATGAGGATTCCATTAATTGATTCTGTGTTTCTTCAGGATTCTATATGACCCAAGTCTAGTGTTGCATCATCTTTGTTCATATGAGATAACAAGAAAGTCTTATAATACATACTACTTCCAGAATAAGTTACCATAAACGAGCACAAATTACCTCTCGTTGAGATTGTTGTATGTCACCATGCAAAGGACGAGCCCCTGGCAATAACCCCGCAAGTTGATTAGCAGTATCCTTCTTCTCAGTGAAAATGATAGTACGGCCACCACTGAAACAACAAACACTCGCTGTCAGTTACAATTATAAGAATATGAAAAACTATCAAGGATGGAATAAGAAACAAAGAAAACACTATTGTACATAACCCACCTGCTGTAACAGCGGATGACATCAGGGATCAACTGAGGTATAGCCGATGCAGAACATGGAAGGACGATGTGTCTTACATTGGTACTAGCCTTCATTTTCTCATTACCAACAAGATCTATGGTTTTCTTGGACGGTTTAAGGAACTTCGACGCAATCTACAAGTGCACAGCAACAATTCCAGTCATGAAGAGAATCAAGAGTTAAGTTACTGGCAGCTTCTAAATAATCAATTTACAAAGCATTAGAATCAACTATCATGGGTAAGAAACTAACATGTTTAACCCATTCAGGCAGGGTAGCACTGAACAGAAGTGTCTGGACTTTAGTGACATCTTCCACTTTTCCTGCAAGTCATGTACATACAGTTAATTCCCATATCTCATCACTTATCATAACAAACGTTAAAAAAAGCTTCAAAATCCTAGGAGCAGCTGAAATTGAATTTCAAATTACACAATTCTGATCACTAGTACTAAGAACATCGACAAACAAATAGTACCTAGGATAAGCTCCACATCCTCTACAAACCCCATTCTAAGCATTTCATCAGCTTCATCAAGGACCCGGAATACCAAGGAGCTAAAATTGATATTGCCCCGCTCAATGTGATCCTGTGGATATTTGCATTTAAGTGATTGTCAGTAAGACCATCCACATAAAAATTAGAACTCTTTCAAGACTGAAGGAGGTCAGCTATACCTTAATGCGCCCAGGTGTTCCAACCACTATATCCACCCCTCTTTTTAAACTGGATTCTTGGGGGTTGTAAGGAGAACCACCGTATAAACAGCAAGATGTCAAACCCATTGCCTCGCCATAGACCTTAAAGTCCTCAAAAACCTGAAACCAGAGGCAGGGGAATCAGCAAAGTACTCATTTACATGAGCTTGGATCACTGCAGCCAACTGCCTCTATTTTTACCTGAACGGCCAACTCCCTCGTAGGTAGAAGGACAAGAACACTCGGTGGCCTGCCATACCCCATCTTCCTGGAAGCTTTCGCACGCCCGTTAACTAGAGACTCCAATAGGGGCAATATAAAAGCAAGCGTCTTTCCCTGCAGTAATGCACCATTCCAATTAATTAGTATACAAACAATCTCATAAGTAAGCTCTAAAAACAATGTTCTGAAGTGTTAGCAAAGCAGAATAATGAAAAGGTCGAAAATTTCACCTGGCCAGTACGAGCCCTGCCGACCAAATCACAACCATCGAAGACATCATCAAACGTTCTCGCCTGAATAGGGAACAACGCCTCGATCCCCCTGGACTTGAGCTTCATCTTCAGCGGCTCCGATATGCGGAAATTGGTCACGGCGTTAGGATCCTCCGGCTTCATCTCCTCGACCTCACCGTCCTCTTCTTCCTCCTCCCCGACGCCGGAAACCTTCGCCTTCTTACTCTTCTTATCCGAATTCAAATTCACCGGCTCGCCCAGCTCCGAGCTCGTCTCACTCCTCTCCTCCTCATCACTCTCGATCTCCGCAGCCTTCCTCTTCTTTTTCTCCTTCTTCTTCTTCTCCTTCTTCTCCGAATACCCGTCCTCTTCCTGATCAGAGACCTTCGAGCTCTTCTTCTTACTCTTCACCGACTCGGATTCCAAGCCGTCGAGAGCGATTTTCTTCATTCTCTTCTCCTTCTTGTCAGCGGACTGGTTCACCATTGCAATCGAAGGCATGGCACAGCAGAAGGAAGGAATGAGCTGAAATATCGGCGAACGGTGAACGAATCAAAAGGGGGAGGCGAGGTGTTGGCGGCGCCTCTATAGCGTTTTCTCCTGCTGCCGACGAGAGGATTTCGTGGCAGTTAATTGCAGGGAGCAGGAGAGAAACGGAAAAGGAGGAAGAAGGGGTTAGGGTTTTTGGTTTTATGCTTTGGCGGTGGGAGGTTTGGGCCGTCGGATGGTCAAACCCTAGAAGTTCGCGTTGGTTGCCCGTTGGATCTACGATCTATTGGGCTTTTCAGAACACTTGCCGTTTGGCGGAATGAAAATATCTGAGTTTAGCGCCTCCACGTCAGCAGCTGTGGGGCCCACTGAAAATATCTGTTCTAAGAGCATCAGATTGGTATTGCATTCTCAATTGCAAAATGATATGGTATAAGTGTTTGCAATTGCAAAACTAATTACATTGATGTGACTACCAATTGCATATTTGCAAGCTTGCAACAAATGCAATTCCATATGCAAGTAAAAAAAGCCTACAAAAAAGGGAATTTTTTTATTTTATATGATTTTCTTTTATCTTTTACTTAATTTTCTATAATTTAAACATAATATTTAATTACATTTGCAATTGCAAGTTAATTGCATTGATGTAGGTGAATGAAATGAATGTGATGTGGATTGCAAAAAATTTGAGTTGAAAATAAAAAACATAAATGCAATTTCTTTTACAATTGCATTGATAGAGATGCTCTAACTTTCACTTTTAACTTTTAAGACACCTCTCAAACAAGAAAACGGGTATTTGGGTATACTCATACACGTCCCTTTTTTTAGGGTTACGGGTACTCAAATATAGGGGTGGGCAACGGGAAACGGGTATTTGGGTATACCCGTACCCATCCCGTTTTTTAAGGGTTACGGGTACCCGTATTACCCGTAATATTATAAATGGATGGGACTTGGGATTGTACATTCCTAATATGGGTACCCGCGGGTTACCCGCAAATACCCGTTTGGGTAATGTGGGTACCCGTTTTATCCATTTGCGAACTCTAATCCATATAAAGGGAATGTCCACTTCGCCACAAAGATGAAACTTTTCTTAGTAAAGAAACAAAAACGCTATGTGAACATAATACTTGTAGTCTGCACTCTGCAGTGACATGCAGCCTAAACTCATCCCTATCCAAGAAGTATCATAGATTATTTTCATAGTTCAAAGTAGTGCATCCCTGGTAACTAACTGGCTATCATGAGAAAACTTAGTATCTATGTCTTTAATCCATGTATAACAGAGAAATGCAAAGGAGTTGGAAGATCAGATATCAAATCAGATAACAGTTACTCCCTTTTGTTAAATGAAACTTCTTATTTGATAATTTGGTGCTTAGAATGATTTATTTCTATGCGTTGTGATTGTTCATGATTTGTGTTGAATGAAACTTCTTATTTGATAATTTGGTGCTTAGAATGATTTATTTCTATGCGTTGTGATTGTTCATGATTTGTGTCTTGTGATTGTTAAGCAAGTACAAGTTAAGTTTAAACTTTTGTTAAAATTTGAATGGTTTAAACTTTGGGTATTTATGGGTAGTATGGGTACCCGTTATCCGTCCCGTACGGGTAATGGGTACCCGTTTAAAACGGGACGGGTATCCCGTCCCGTCCCGTTGCCCACCCCTACTCAAATATTCGTTATATTTATTGTGGGATTGGATTTGGGATTGTAATTTCAATATTGGGTACCCGCGGGTTACCCGCTACCCGTTTGGGTAATTTGGGTACCCGTTATACCCAATAACATTACACCAAATCTGATTTCTAAAATTAGTTCCCAATACCCTATACATCCAACTAGGGGTGGGCAACGGAAAACGGGTATTTGGGTATACCCATACACATCCCTTTTTTTAGGGTTACGGGTACTCAAATATCCGTTATATTTATTGTGGGATGGGATTTGGGATTGTAATTTCAATATTGGGTACCCGCTAATACCCGTTTTGGTAATTTGGGTACCCGTTATACCCAATCACATTACACCAAATCTGATTTCTAAAATCAGTTCCCAATACCCTATACACATAAACCCAGCCCAGAATCCCGAGCCCAACCTAGCGTCTAGGCCCATCTCCTCTCACCTCTCCCTCACTCGGCGGCGGCGACTACTCGTGAGCCTGAGAGACAGAGACAGACTCTCCCTCTCTCGCGATCGCGGCTCGCAGCAGCAGACCTAGAGCAGAGCAAGATGAATCCCGACGGCGCCGGCCGCTCCTCTCCTCTAGATCCCTGCCCCGACACCCGTCACCCTCAAATCCTCTTCTCTGGCTCTCCCTATATTCTGAATCTGCATTCCGAATCCCGATGCGTCGGCCGCTCCTTCTCCTATTCTCCTGAGGCCGACAGCCATAGCATCTGGATTGTCATCACTTTCAGAGTACTCGTTGCGTGCTGCTGCTGAGCTACCCAGTTCTCATCAGCTTTCCAACTTCTTCTTGTGGACATTGGGGGTTCTTTTTTATTTGTGGCCAATGGGTATGGGTTCTTATTGTGGACAGTGGGGGTTCTTTTGCATTTGTGAGCAGTGAGTGACTGTCGATTATGGAAATGGACAGCTAATTTTTTTTTTCATTTGTGGAAAGCAAATCAGCGGGTTTTAACGGGTATAAACGGGTACCCGTTATCCGTCCCGTACGGGTAATGTGTACTCGTTACCCGTATGGGTTTGGGACTTGGGATAGACTTTACTCTTCAAACGAGATTGGGTACCCGTTTCAAATGGAACGGGTATCCCGTCCGTCCCGTTGTCCACCCCTACATCCAACTTAAGCTTGATTCAACCACAGCCATATCCATCATGAAAAAATGCGGGCATGACAGCCACCACTATGGTCTCCTTGCCCAACAAGTTCAACATCTGTTGAATCGTTATTGGAGGGTTCGAATTTCCCATGTACACAGATAATGTAATTTTGCGACTCATTACTTAACTAGTAAAGATAATTGTGTGGATTTTGGTATGCGTCTATTCGATGTGAACAATTCGTGTCTTAATTAGGGATCGCAATAAAACCAAAACCCTCGGGTACACTAACCGACCCAATTCGGTGAACGCGTGTAAACCCGTATTGACGGGTTTTGGGCCGGGGTTCAAGTTTAAACCCGTAATATCATTCACGGGTTGGGTTGGATTTGAGTTTAGGTATACTCGCCCCATGGGTACCCGCCCACATCCATATAATTCATTTTTCCGATATATTAGTGATATATCTTTTTTTAAACAACTAATCTTCTTTATGTTTGTAGAGACATGTCTAATTTGTTCTTTCTAATTGTGTAGAATGAAGTTGATGTTATGGATTGGAGAGTGAATAAGCTGAGTTGACAAGGAGGAATAATCTTTAAATTAATCATGTTGTTTATAGATGTTTATCTTCAATTTTGAACAATTTGTATAGACAATTTGCTGCTTGCTTGTATGCTCTAGATTGGCATTTTTTGTATGGAGAATTTGTATGAGAAAATTGATGTTAGACTTTTATTTTGAAAGAAACTTGTTATTGTAAACTTTTACCACAAAAGCTCACGGGTACCCATGAACCCGCGGACACCCAGCGGGTTGGGTTTGAGTTTTACCCTGGGTTTGGTTTTGGGTTTGGCAAAAACCGCCCCAACCCGACCTATTGCAATCCTTTTAATAGATGGATCCTTTTTATAATGTAATGGCCATTACCCAAACTAGGGATGACAATGGGTCAAGTCGAAGGTGGATAGTGCATATCTATTACCCTACCCAAAGTAGTTCGGGTTTTACCCATACCCATACAAGAAACGGGTAGAAAATTAAAATCATGCTCATACTCGTTAGGGTATTCACGGTTATCCATGAGTAATAATTTATCTTCATAAATCCAACCAATATGTTAACATTCACACGTATTCTCACATTACATAAGAGAAAAAACACGATAATTATTTATTCGAATGAAGAAAATTAATTAAAATAACACAATTTCATGAAAATATTATATTTATATACTAAATATAAAATATGTTAGAGAAAAATAATGATTATTTCTAGAAAAAAAATACATATACATATGTATAATTGGGCGGGTTCGGGTTAGATAGTGAGAAAATCATACCCACCCATTACCCGCAATATTCGGGTTTAAGTTTTACCCATACCCACTAAAAGTCATTCGGGTTCAGGTTTTACCCTACCCGATTAGGTCAGTTTTGGACGGATATACACGATTACAGATATTTTTGTCATCCCTAACCCAAACTTGTTTAGTCAGTACTAACACATAGGACGCATTAGCGTCTAGGGATGGCAATAAAATTCGAACCCACGGGTACCCACCCGTCCCAACCCGGTCAACGCGGGTAAAATTCATGTTGACGGGTTTTGTGTCGGGTTTGGGTTTAAACCCGTTCACTATTCACCGGGGTGGGTTTGGATTTAGGTAAACCCGCCCCATGGGTACCCGCACACACCCATATAATTAATTTTCTCGGTATATTTAATAGTCTAAACAACTAATCGTATTTATGTTTGTGGAGACATGTCTAATTTTTTCTTTTTAATTGTGTAGAATGAAGTTGATGTTATCGAGTGGAGAGTGAAGAAATTTAATTGAAAGGAAGAAGCTTTCAATTACTCATGTTATTTATGGATAATTTGTGATTTGTTTCAATTTTCTTGAGTTTTCTAGATTGATGTTGAACAATTTGTATAGTTAATTTGTGATTTGCTTGAATTTTCTAGAATGGTGTTTTATATATGAAAAATATGTATTGAGAGATTGATATTTGACTTTAATTTTAATAGGAACTTGTTGTTGTAAATTTATTACAACAAAAGCCCGTGAGTAACAATGAACCCGCGGATACCCAACGGGTTGGGTTTGAGTTTTTCAAACCCAGTAGATTTTACCCCGAATATTTTCACGGATAAACCCATAGGTTTGGGTTTGGCAAAACCTGACCCATTGCCATCCCTATTAGGGTCCAATCTTTCTACCAAAAGAGCAACAAGCCCAAAATATCCCGATTAATGATCTTGCAGTTCCTATATTTTATAAATTTTAACAGATGAGGACATTGGATTCTCTCTTACTTGGGCTAACATGATTACATGTGTTCATGGACCAAGTAATTGAAGTTCGAAGGGACTTCACTGATATGGGCGGCGGAGGGCAATAGATGATGAAGCTCATTGACAAATGAAAACGGGTATGTAGACTTCAGGAATGAAGTTATGATTTGTTTTCTGTTGTGGTTGTCCACACAAACTCGTAGATGAATGAAATCGACTTGGAAAGTTGATGTACGAGCAAGTAATTTATCACAGGCACCTTGGTAATTGGCACAACTGCACAAGTCTCTTTGTCCAGTAGAGGAAGTTGCCACCTTGTTCTCAGGCCGTCGCAGTCCTGAAGTGAAAAACTCACTCGAAAATTAGCTGCTGACAACATCAACAGAAATTATACACTGCGAATCACAAGAGTAAGATTTGCCATGAGAGTAAAAAGCTCCCCACTCCCCAGTAAATTTCACGGTGACATGGCCTAGTTCCCAGATGATGAGATGAACAAGTCAGGGAAAAGAAAGGCAAGATACTTATCAGAGAAATATACTCAACTTAAGTTTTACAGCTATGGTAGCAATCCTACTTACAATCCAGTACAGGTACACATACACCAACAGAGTTTTCCAACCCATGTTCATCATCCTGCAACCTCTCTAGCAATTAACACCGACTTAGGAGTACGTGTTAAGATGTGCTCTCCCACTCATAGCACAGCAGCACTACCAAAGAGCCACAGAATCACAAACACAAACCATCCCGGAATGCGCCTTGAACTTACAGAGGCAGCAGCAGCATTGCCACAAAAGTTGAAACCGTACCAAAGATCGCCAGGAATGTAGGTGTTGTAGTTGAAGGTCGCAGCCTTCGAATTGTAGCCGTAGATCTTCACACTCCCTGGCTTCCATCCATCCGGCCCACTCCTGTAAAGGTAAACATAGCAGATCTGGTACGCACAGGGTCCGGATATCTGAAAGGTGTCGGAGGAGCATCTCTCAAATGCCTTTGAAGCTGGATCATCGATCCTTGGAGCATAAATCTGAAATTGACAGTAAAAAATAACATCAGGTAAGATAACATATCTTGGTTCTATTAAGTTGCTGGTTCGAGCTGACGCTTTGCCTGAAGAAAGCTTTATCGTTTTCCCTATTTACAGTCTATCAGATCAATACAAGTCCTGCACAGCTTCCATTCACTGAATGCTTGCTAGCTTTCACATACCATAAACCAGCTAGCAATGCTTGTCCATTATCGGTAATCAAACAGAAAAAATTCAATAACTTCAGCATGAAATCAAAGATGTTTATGTTGGTAGCCGGGATCATAAGGCCGCCAAGCATCGGTCAATAACTGAAACAAAATCATTTTATCTCTTCAGAGAAGCTTCCAGGCATATGCCGGGATCAGGACAGTGAACCCTAATCTCTCTCAGAAAACATTTCAAAGGAGCTCCACACAAATGAGAGCTATCCATGCCGGTGAAACTCCAGGTTAAAGGAAGCTTCAGATTCAATGCAATGACACGGTCGCCAGTGTTCTCAGTACTGCCACAACGCCAAATGATTTCACTCGCGGATATCATTGCTCAACTAATTAGTAATTACACACAAATACTCCAAGAATCAAGAAATTGATCATCGCTTCTCCACTCAACCAAGTTCAAGCCTCAAATTTCAGAGGAAAATAGAAATCAAAGAGCGAGAGACTGTTCCCTGACCTGGTTGCCATAGGCGTCCCCGAAGGAGATACTGATTTGATCGCGAGTGTAAACCGGCGAAGAACAGCTCGTGGTTATATCCACCGTGTAAGAACAGCTCCCTACGTTCTTTTACCCCGCATTTCCCCAGACACAACAGGAAGTTCGATCAGCTTCTACGCTCGGCGAAAACGATTCAGATAACTAAGCATAAGAAGATCGGTACCTGAATCAAGCTGAGATTGAACGAGTCGATCGCATGAGGCTGAACGGTCGCGGTGGATTCGGCGGCAGCGCAAACGGAGACGAAGAAGACGAAGACGGAGAAGAGAAGGAGAGAAGAAAGAGGCGTGTCCATTTTCTTCTGCTGCTGCATCGATTGAAAGTGAGTGAGCGAGTACAACTGTCGAGGGGGAACGGTCTGGAGTTTTCGACGCAGAGAAATGTGCAAACGTGTAACGAGGAGAGTTATGCGGTGTGCTCAGCCTCACGGAGAGAGGTCTTGTGGAAGAAAGTAGGCGAAGAGAAATAGAGATTTCCATCGAAAAAATGGAAAGCTGGACTGGACCCGAGCCCTACGACTCTACGAGGCTTCGGCCCTTTCCGCCGAAGTAACTTCCTTATGATCCGTGAATGTTTGATGGTTCCGCCTCATCCTGAGTGGTTAGGAGATATTTCTCGTGCCACAACAACCCGTCTTCTCTGTTTGGATATCGATACACCATAAGATTAACTCTTCTTGTGTCATCCATGCAAGTATTGTTAGTACACATTTGATAGAGGTCTTCAACCATCGATCTGGTAGCGACCTTTATTTTCTGAAATTGCCACCGACGTAGGTGACCCCCTTTCCGCTCTCTTCTATGTAATCATTCCACCGTAACCCAAGCGTGAACTTTTGGAATGTCATCTGGAAAAGAAAAGAAAAAACAGTAGTTCAACTAATATCATAAAATCACAATTCACAATAAAAAGTAATACAAAAAAAAACTTACGAGTTAACGTTAACCGCAAAAACACTAGAGAAATATGGAGCTACAATAGAAAATTGAAAATGAAGAAGGAGAGGTGTGAAGTAGGGGTGGCTATTTTGACCGGGACCGGATTAAAAACCGGAAACCGGATCGTATAACCCGGATCGAGACCGGACCGGGACCGGATAGTAAACAATCCAATCCAATCTTTGGGCTTAGATTTGAGGTAAAAAACGAGATAAAGACCGGATAAGAGAGCTCAACGCCCAAAACTTAAGGGTAATTTGCATAAACGGTCACAAACCTTTGCACTTAGTACAAAACTTAACCAACTCCTCACCCTTTAAGGCCTTAGGCCACTCAAATCGCACAATCTCAATGTAAAATTAAGACCGAATTGGGACCGGACCGGATCAAAACCGGACCGGATCAAGACCAGACTGTATCCAATCCAATCTTCGGTCCTTATATTTTCAAAAAGACCGGACTGGACCGGATCAATTTGGGCCAATTTAACCGGACCAGACCGTATAGCCACCTCAAGTGTGAAGATAAGAAGTTTTCCCGTCTGCCTTTTATAGGCAAAATCATCAATGAAAACCGCACCTTAGAGGTGTGTTTTTCATCTGCCATGCAGCCCCATGTCTGTGAATCTGCATGGTTGCTGGTCTGGTGTCGGAAAATAATTGACACACAAACCGCACTTGGGGATGCGGTTTGTGTGGCAAAACCGCAACCCCAAGAACCGTACTTGAAGAAACAAACCGCATCTCCAAGGTGCGGTTTTGGTAGGCTCGGCCATAACCGCACCTCGGCCAAGCGGTTTATGTAGGTCAGACCTGAAACCGCTTGGCCAAGATGCAGTTTTGGCCCAGGAATATGGACCGCACCTTAGAGGTGCGGTTTATATATAAAACGCACCTCTAAGGTGCGGTCCATAAAAAAGGTGCTATTTTTGTAAATATTTTCGGCTAAGTGCTATTTTTGTAATTTTTTTTAATGTGCTATTTCTGGAAAATCCCCTTCTTCCCTCCTCCATGAAATTGTCATTCAAGGTACTACGGGTTAAAACCTTCCAAACCCTATAGGTTTTGAATGTAGATGTAATTGTGTTAGGGGTTTATGTATGGGTATGTTTGTTTTAGTGATTATATGCTTCATTTATGCTTAATTATGCTTGAGTTTGTCTCCCAACTCTTTATACTAGCCTACAACTGAGTTAACACTAGGTGAAAATTTTAGGATTGGACTAGGTAGATGAATAATCTCAGGGTTCCTTAGTGGATGTGGCGACCAAACCCCTGTTATAGGAATGTCGTCCTAAAACAATGCTATTGAGGTCGCACGCCATCTGATTGAAGCATCGTTCCAGCGGCGGATCCAGAACACAGAAGAGCATTGGGCCGCATTTCATTAAAAAATTAGAACCGTAATAAAGTATAATAATTTTTTTACAATATAAATTGTACACGACGGTATTTTTATTTTGCGAATGCATCATTAATGGAGTCCACATCCATACCAATAGTATACATTGTTTTAAATAAAATACTTTAGCAATCGGCTAGAAATTCATCGTTCATTTTGTTACGAAATCAGTTTTCATATGTTTCATTGTTGAAAAGGTTTTCCTTGTAGTAGTTGTTGATACGAACAACGTCAACACTAGATAAATCAATCGTGCATTGTGTGTCCATACCTATATCCACTAACTGCTTTAGTAAATTTTCAAGTGAACAAACCTCATATTTCTTATAGTCTTTTACGTTTTAGACTTTTAGAATTCTAGATTTCATTTTTTTTATAGAAAAATAGCCTTTGGAGCTAGAATTTCTAGGCTAAATTTATAGTAGTGATTTGAATATGTTAATCTGAATTCTTATTCTAGTTACACCCAATCTTATTATAAAATAACACTAGACCGAATAACTAAAATCGAAAAATTCATAAACACTATACTAACTTCGAATCCAGGGAAGGGATGGGCCGGGGCCCGGGGTAGCCACCCCTTGGATCCGCCGTTGCATCGTTCTAGTATGCATGACATGTTAAACCGATTGAGAGGAACTATGGGAGCTAACCCTGAAACGTAAAGTTAGACCGAAGTGACATTGGGTTGCAACTTGCAACCGAAACTTGAAAAACGTACTATTATTGGTTGGCTCTTGTCTTTTGTGGCGTGAGGCAGTCCACAAGTCCAACTATTTGCACACATCAGTTTGTTGGCCTGTCAAAATAAAAACTAGTCAGTTTGTTTTTAACTCGCTCTCCCCCCACCAACCATTCCCATGACCCAAAAGCTCTCTATAACCCATTGTTCCATTTAGCTGCGACGGACAATTAACAGAACGAAAGGACTTTCCCGTACTGAAACAATTCCCTTTCCGATCCCTCTTTATAGTAAAATGTTATATTTATAGCCCTCGATGTGATAGGTGAGCATTAAATACGACAAGATCGGATGTCAATCTCTCGTGGTAGCGCGTAATCATCTTTTTGTGAGACGCTTTAGCCACATCTCCAACAAATATGATTAGTCATATGAGGGAAGTACTCAATTCTCCATTTAAATTTTGACATGAAAAAGTATAATTCAACCATTGACATATTATATAGTTCGCGTTACGTTCTATTTCATTCGTTAATCAAGATCGATATCGAACAAATAATAGCCAATCGATGAACCCAAACCAGGGATAGAAGTTAGTTACCCCGCATCATTGTGTTTATAGAAAGAAGTTACTACTCTTTGTTGAAAAGGGACCACTGCCGGGAAAGGATATGAGAGAGGAAGAGATTCCGTTTTCCAGAAATTGCTTCTCTCCGCTCAGGCCCACCAAACCAATACCTTACCGCAGATTTGTTTGTTTCCTCGAGCCAGCTCCGTTTTATGCTTTTGCAGGTGAAGCCAAGCAAAACATTACCGCTCTCAATCAGCATGCAACTCGAGGAAAAGTGAAAAGCTTTACAAAAGAGCAGCTCTCTTTTTTGGAAAAACTAACAGCACCAGGGCCATGGCGGCTTATTTTATGTAATTGGTTGGTGGGTTGTTCGTGGGCTTCATATGCAGCAGAATGAAGTACACTCCTTTGATTGATTCCCAGAAAATTACAAGTACAGTATATCCCTCAACTAAGGGCTGTCACTCGGTCGGTTTCGGTTTAACCGAAAACCGAATTGCCGGTTATTCGTCAAACCGAGACCTCGACCAAAGCTACCGCCAACCGACCGTCCGTGAGCCTCGGTTAGCCGCAAACCGACCGACCGGTTTCCGGTTTCGACTCGGTTAGCCGGCCAACCGGAAACTAGCTTTAAAAAAAAAGCAACAAAAAATCTGCACCACACACTCCTAACCTAACCCCTCCGTTTCTCGATTCTTCGTCCCCTCCGTTTTCTCGATTCTTCTTCCCCTCCGTTTTCTCCCTACTCTCTCTCTCGATTCTCTTCTTCCTCTGGAAGGAAAATCGAACAACCAACTCCCTCGATTCTTCTTCCCAGACTATCTCTCTCCCTATTTTCGCCTCCTCCCTCGATTCTCTCTCTCGATTCTGCTGGTGTTGGCGGCGGGGTGACGGGGCTGAGGACCGGGGTGGAGTGAAACGACGTCGTGGTCTTCTCGCCGTCGTGGGAGTCGCAGGAGGTGCTCTGGACGAAGTAGGCCGGGCGGCGGGGAGATCTGGTCGGCGACGACGGCGCCAGGCTGGTAACCTCGAAGTCGGTTTTGGCGTGCAATTTTTTGGATTTTGTTTGGGGTAATGGGAATGAATGGGAAAGCTGGATGAAGCAGAGAGAAGCTTGTTCAGGTGGAGGAGGGAGCAAAATGGGTTTTATGGGAATAGGGGCAGTGAAGGGGAAGGCGGAAAATGGTGAGGGAGCTTCTTGTTCGGGTCCGTCGGAAGAGAAGAGGGTGGGTCCTGCCGTCGGGACCGTCGAAAGAGAAGAGGGTCGGGTCTCTAGGGGAAGGGGAAATGGGGAATGGATTTGGGATAGGGTTTGGTTGATTTGGGATTTGGGATTTGTTGGAAGAGAAGAGGGTCGGGTCTCTAGGGGGGGAAGATGGTTTTGGATGCGGCGTCGTTTAAGGAAAGGGCAGGGGGTCGGTTAGCCAGTTAACCGCCGGTTTCCGACCCCGGTTAGTCGGCTAACCGGCCCCCCAATTTGCTCTACCGTCAACCGACCGTGCTCTTCAGGTTCGGTTTTTCGGTTAGCCGAAAACCGGTCGATTTGGTTGAAACCGTCCGGTTAACTGCTGACCAGAAAACCGTCTGCCAGCCCTACCTCAACCCTTTGGCCTTGGGCTACTAATCATGCAACAAAAAAAAAATAAAAGGTAGTCTGACAACCTAAACTTTCTGGGTTGTTCAAAGAAACACAAAACTGTATGACAAAAAAAAAACACAAAACTCATCTCCCAGTTTGAAAATTATCCAAATGATTGGCGTAGTGAAATTGACGGTCCTAATGATAGTTACATAACAAAATTAGAAATTAGAATAAGAGATTAGACATCATAAAGCACCTAATTAGTTATCGTTAGTAACTAATCTTTCCCTAAAGAAATCAACTATCACGTATTTAACGAGACCATGGATATGTGGGGATGCCAGTGGTACTCCAGCCAGCGGATTACTCAGTTCGAGTCGACCCAGACAAATTGGATAAAATTTTATTGTTGATGGGTTTCAGATCATCCGATGTAGGTAAAAGTCGAGTCCGACACTTACGAGCAGAGTTGGAGGTTCGACCAATACCTTCATTGGCACGCGTCTAGCCCGAATATAGAGTTCCACGTGACGTCATTTTGAGTTCTAACTCTTTATTTTAGTATTAGTAATAGGATTGCATTAACCATTAGTACGCATTACACATAATCACAATTTGTAGGTGGTATTGGTCTTATGACAAAGTAGTTACTAGGATAATTGGGATAATATGATAATGTGATCTCATAGCTTCAGCTTCTTCTTAGCATAGCTCATAACCAGGAATTGCTGTGCCCCAATTTCAAATTTTCAATCATCTAGATGCAAAACCTCCATTGTTTACTTCAGCCTAGTCAAACTATAGAGTCTACCTAAAGAATTTATCAACCTACCAAGCATCACCGACACCACTTATATCAACCAGAAAAATAAGCCGATCTAGAAAAGCAAGCAAAGAAAGAACCCTACCAAACTCGTAGTCCCCATCACAATTCACAAACCTCATCAAGAATTCAGAACCATCCAATCCTCGTTACAGCAAACAAAACAAAAACCCACCCAATGGGCCAATATAAAATCATTGTAAAAAAAAAGGCCAATATAAAATCAAGGAATCAGCCAACTTATTAAAGTTAGCGGTGGCTATACCGGTTAAATTGGTGTGAATTAATTCGGTCTTCATTCAGTTTTTTCGAGAATATAAGGATAAAAGATTGAATTGGATACATTTCGGTCTTAATCTGATCCGATCCTAATTAAATCTTGATTTTAGATTGAGCTTGTGGAAATTTGAGTGGTCTGAGAAAGATTTCAGTGGCCTAAGACCTGAAAGGATGATGAGGTTAAATTTTGGGTGTTAGGTTCAGTTATCCGTTCTTTATCTAGTTTTCGGTCCGGAAACGATTTTTTACCTCAAATTTAGACCCAAATATTGGATTGAATTGTTTAGTATCCGATCCAACTCCGGTCTCAGTCCGGATTATAAGGTCCGATTTCGGGTAAAATTAAAAAGTTCGAACCACATAGCCAGCCTTAATTAAAGTACCAATCTCCATAATTTAATCTCATGCTCAACACATAATACAACAAAATTATTTTTGTACACACAACTGTAGTAACTCCCGATTCACCTTTCCGTCCGTTCAACTCTCCGGCACCGGCTCCGATCATCACCCCAAACGGAGAAGCCATGGCCTTTATGGCTTTCTCCCTTCCCTTCACTTTCCGGCAAAAAATCACGGACCCACCACCCGTTCCCCGGCCAAAAAGCAAAAACAGAGTATAGTGTACAACAAGAAAAAAAGTTAAAAAAGCTTTAAATGAATTTACCCAACCCGATCCACCGCCATTTGAAGAAATTGCCCAAAACTAACCTCAACTTCCTCCTACAATTTTACCACTTGTAACCCCTTTCCCTCTGCTCCTCGAACCTCCTCAACACCCCATCCACGGCGACGTCGAAGGCGTCCTTAATCGTCTCCAACCCATCGCTGTTCCTCGCGTACACCAGCTTGGGGATGTACTCGATCACCTTCTCCCGCATTCTCCTCACTTCGTCCCTGCTGTAACCGTCGAGAACTTTCCTAATCGATGTCCCGTTCTTGACCTCGTCGCGGTGGATGAAAACAGAGTAACTCTTCGGATCGTCTGGGAGGAACCACTCGTACTGGTAGTACGCCGTCCTCCGCCAGAAAACAACCGGGATTGCGCCGGCGATCATGCAATCGAAGATGGACCGGCGCGTGAAGCTGTCCCCGCGCGGCTGGAGGCAGAAATCAGAGTCGAGAAACGTTTCGAGGATGGCGGAGGTGCCGTTCGCGCAGCGGGACCCGCCGCAGTCGACGACGCGGCAGGCGTCCGACTCGTTGAGGCAGTGGCGGAGGAGGACGCCGCGGAAGTCGTTTTTAAACGAGTGGCGCGTGGCTCCGGCGAAGGAGAAGAGCGTGGGGCGGTTCCGCTCCCGGACGAATTTCTGCCACCGGAGGACGTCGGCGTCGGATCTCGGGTGGAATCCCGTGGGGTAAGGGACGCCGACGTCGAAGTAGTCCCAGGGGTTCCGCTCGATGAGGAGGCGCGTGATGTTTCTCATCCCCGGCAGGTAGATGCAGCTCGACCCCCAGTCTTGATCGGCGGAGCGGCGGAAATCCCATGTGATCCGGCCCATGGTGATGAAGTGATCCCAGCCGTTGGATCTCTGGAACTGCGGCTGGGATTTCACCCAGCTCAGCATCGCCTCGCAGTGCCGGTCCCGGTCCTTGGGGCTGAAATTCTGCCACAGGAATCTCCCCACTGCCAAACCGGCGTAGAACGGGATGTAAAACGCCGTCGCATTGCCCGGCTCGGCGGTCCGGCACCTGTGCTTCATCATCCTGTTGTGGAAGACGATCTCCGACACGAATTGATCGGTCCAGAACCACGCCGGCGCCAAATCCTCCGGCACGATGCCGGAAACTCCCGCCGCCGCCTGCTGCCCGAACCCGTCGTTGGCCAGGGAGTCGCACCGCGAGCTCCACGGGTTCAATTTCTCGCAATTCTCGATCAATTCGGTGTTCAAGCTGCTCGGGAGATCGTAAACGTAGACGTACCCTTGCTCGCAGCGATGCGAGTAAGTCTCCTCGTCGACCGCCACGGCGGCGGCAGAGTCGGACCTTGCTGAGACGGCGGACGCAATGACGACTGGCTCAGAGACAGCGGCGGCGGGACTGGGAGAAGACGGGAGGCGGCGGTGGAAGCCGTGGAAGTGGAAGGGGACGGAGCGGAGAGTGAGGAGGAGGAGGATCTGGATGAAGAGGACGAAGACGAAGATCCAGGAGCGGGGCTGGGATAGGTAGGCATGGGAGAGGAGGGAGGTGAGAGAGCTGAAGGAATTCTTCCTCGGGATGAAATCGGCAGGGGCGATTTTGGGCTTTTTAATCTTGGTGGACTCCGGCGGCGGAGAATTGGTGAGTGGAAGCATCGGAGCAGAGTCTAATTAGGGAATTGGACTCTAGGGTTACTGTTCCTCTGGCGGCGAATTCGGCCGGGAAGTAGCGGCGGCGGGAGTGGTCTTCGGTGGATTTTGGGAAAGTGGAGGAAATGCAGAGAGGGCGGAAAGGAAGCGGTTGAAGCGGGGGGAAGGAAATTTGCACCAGTTTCGGGGAGAGGGATTTTGGAGTAGAAAAGAAATGAGAAGGGATGCGCGGAGAGGATTGGGAGGAAATTGGCACGTGTAGGGGCGAGATGCCGGGGATGCGTGGGCGACCGACAGTGGCTTATATGGTTTGGGAATTCGGGATACCGGCACGTGGCTTTATCGATGCAGGTGAATGGTGGTTTAAGAAAATATTAAAACTAATTAATTAACTGCGATTGATTATTGAAATTTGAACTCGAACGTAACGCACAGCACAGTCAGTTTGACTGATTCGGTGATTCCCGTTCGGAGGTTGAGTTTAAACGGAGCTGAGCACCTTTCAATTCTGTCGCCTTTCGGAGATCTGTACGAATGAATGTAACACCAGTTTTTTTTTTGGTAAAGAATTAATTTGAATTTGTGGTAAATACCATAATTGAATTCTTCAACAAATCGAAGGTTAGTGATCGATATCTATTATGACTTTCCACAACCACACGAATCAAAAGGTAACGCAACAACCATCTTCGGTTAATCGATCAATAGAGACAGTGGCGGACCTAGGATTGTTGGAGAGGTGTGTCGCCGCTAACATAGAATAATAATTAAATAAAAAAATTAAGTAGAAATTAAAAGAAATTAATTTATGAAGTTCACAATGTCATTTTACAATGAATCACGACGACTTTTCATCTGCTGAAATGTCTCTAAAATACATTCATCACTTATGCTGCAAAGCAAATGTTTTTCAATATACACAACTTAACAATCATTTATAAACAATGATATTATACTCTAACCCCCAATGTGTGAACCGCAATCCCCAATTCACTAACCTAACATAAGATTCATTTCATCTTGAAAAATGAAAATCAATGATTCTGATTCGTCGAAATTATTGTTGAGTTTCATTTTAAGATTGACCAAAATTTGCAGTTTGGGTTAGAAAATTAGGGATTGGGGTTCACCCATTAGAGGTTAGGATATAGGATCATGCCCCAAAGTCCGGTTAATTATTTATCTAAATAGCAAAACCCAATTGGCGTACGGTGGTCGGATCGTACGCTAGCCTGAACTTATATTTATATATTTTGATAATTTATGACAATAAATTTCCATAAACACAATGAAGTTGTGTCGGATACAATGATCAGAGGTGTGTCAGAAATCCCGAGATCAAAATTTTAGTACCGAAGAATTAAGGGTCTTTCACAAAATTTTCGGGCGGAGGTGTGTCAGATGACACACCTCCCTTGTGCCTAGGTCCGCCCCTGAATAGAGACAAGACTAGGAACTAGACTATGAACTAGACTAGGAATTGGAAGCTTAATCTCATTCTTCTCAATATCACTAATCCCTTAAGAAGGAAGACAAGTAGCATTAACCATGTGTACTTGAACGACATATGTGGGTTTAAGAGCAACAAATAGAGAACGACAGCTAGTCATGTGATTAAACGCGTTGGAATCAAGATGCCAAGGTGAAGAAGAAGAAGAAATAGTATTTTCCGGCGAGGAAAATCCCTGATGTTTGAACACAATGAATGCACCTTCGACTTCTTGAACAACGATAATTACATGGTTCACTTCTCTCTGAACAATGTTCGAACGAGGGTGTTTGATGATTTTGATGGTTTTTTGGGAACAAGCTACGTTAATTACTCCTACTCCTATGGAGGTTCTGTGAGAGCTCCGAAAACTAAGGCTATGGCTAATTTGCAGAGAAAATGATAAAGTTTGACATTGTGCGTCAAATGTTTGGTTGTCGAGCCCTTGCTTCGTCTTTGTTTCCCCTATTTATAGCCATCACTTGTAATTGTCGTGTAACTGTCTCTAGTTAATCGCTTATCCTCTGCTTGGTGCTTGATGTAGCTTGCTTGAGGGCTTGACTGTCTTACGTGCTTGCCACTTGATACATTGCACCTTGATGACTTCACTTGATAGCTAGCCCCTTGTGCCATGGAGGCGTCTTGCTTAGTGAGTGAAGGCTTCACGCTTGGTGGTACTCATGCTAACCACCCTGACATGACGTGGTGCTCGACACCAAGGGGCTTGGGGGTTGATGGACGCACACTGAACCCCATAGGGTGGCATCATGCTTGTAGTGTCTTGACAAACTGGTCTACCACGTGATGATATACATGGCTGACCACTAAGAAACTTGATGACCTTGCACGAGACCTAGCGGCCTGCTCTGAGAGGTGAGTGTCAAAGCAATGCTGACACCAACTCTCCTTGCACGACATCATGCTTGACACCCTAGTGTTTGGTATCCGGTGCTTAACCCCCTTGGACGGTGTCATGCTTGACCCCCCTTGTAGTTGGATCTCCATACTTAGCCACTTTTCACCTCGATATCATGCTTGACACCCTAGTGCAAGGTAGGTGGCTACAATACTTGGTGCTTGACCCCCCTTGTGGTTGGGTCTCATGGTACCTGGTGCTTGACCCCCTTGGACGAAATCATGCATGACCCCCTTGGACGGTGTCATGTTTGACCCCCTTTGTGTTGTGGGTCTCATGGTACCTGGTGGTTGACCCCCTTGTGTCTTGTCATACTCGACTCACCTTGCACCCCCCTGGCGCAAGGTAGGTAGATGGCATAGTGCTTGACCCTCTGGTGGTTAGGTCTCAACACTTAGCCAAATTTTGGCTTTCTTCGCCACCACGTCTAGGGACTCGCGTCACTTGGGAAGAGGTATATTGCTTGACCCCGCTTGCATGACATCATGCTTGACCCCCCTGGCAGTTCTCGACACAGCCAAATTTTGGCTCTCTTTGCCACCACGGCTAGGGGTACTCGCGATGACCCCCCTTGTGGTTGGGTCTCCACGACTTGGGTGGTTGATGTTGAAGGGTGTCAACGCTTGGCACTTGACCCCCCTTGCGTGACGGGTGGGTGTTTGGTGAGTCAAGTGGTGTGTGTTGAGGTACTTGGTATGAAGCCCAAAATACCATCATTTAGGCCAAGGTTAAACCAATTTAATTAATATGGTTAAGTTGGCCTTATAAATCACTACCACTCCTTGAAAATAATCAATGTGGTATTGAGTGATTTTTTAGTTGTAAACAGATAGGCATACCCGTAGTGAAGATAGAATCCTGAACCGACAGAAGACTCCTTGAGAACCTCTTACATAAGTTGAAAAAGTGATTCAAGCAAAGCCACTTCTTTTCTCGGGAGAGTATGGGTGGCAGTGGTGGCATAAGCAACAGGCATGGAGCGAACAGTACCCGAAGCAGACCCAGACGGCCGAGAACGACCTCACTTCGCTAGAATTGGGCAATCATCAATCACATGCCCTTCCTTTTTGCAATAATTGCAAACATTGTGCTTGGGGCAACGAAGCAAGATATGCCCAGGTTCACGACAAAAATGACACTTGATTTTCCCTCACGGAGTACGATGAAAATGAGGCTTACCTTCGCAACAAAGTTGTAGCAGACTCAGCAGCAGCAGAGGATAGCGTAGCACCCGATCTAGAAGACGCCCCAGTAAACACAGAGGGGCCTGCTGAATTAGTAGAGTGAATGTCAAGCTTACCATGATTGCACAATTGCATCTCCTCGCGAATTAGTTACACCAAGGCCCTTTCAATTGTAGACACATTCCGATTGAGTAAGGAAACATGGACACCCTCAAACTCATATCTAAGATTCATCATAAAGTACATGCGTCTGGAGATAGCCTTTTCCTTAAGAACCTCCGAACATGTCGTAGCAGAAACCAACAAAGCAATTAGTAAATCAAGCTCGGTCCACAAACTAATCAGAGCTTAATAATATGAGCGAATATCTAGGTCGCCATGATGAAGCCTAGCAATGTCGACCTCCAGCTCAAACTTGCGAGAAGCACTAGTCTGAGAGTGTGATTCGGTGAGATGAGTCGACATCACATGAGCCGTTGAGAAACCATGCAGACTCAACGCGATGGAGGGCTCGGTCGAAGAGAGAATCCCGGTGATGACCTGGCATGCTGAATCTCCTAGTCATCCTTATCCTTAGACGATGCATCGGCGGCAGGCTCCGACAATGAACTGTCAAATATAGGCAGCAATCGACGACCTTGAACGAAAATACTGAATTGAAACTCCCATAATGGAAAGTTCCGACCATTAAATTTGATCGCCACAGTATCAACTTTTGAAAGATCCATTTGCACAACCAGAAAGAAAACCGAGGTACACAAAACAAAATCTAGCTAGAAGGCAAGTAGATCGAGAAACCTGCAAAAATAAAAACGAGATGCAGTACACCACACAAAACCCCAAACGCAGCCACAAACTGTCAAGATTAGCCCTGAAGAGGCTCTGATACCATGTCAAAATGTCAAATGAAACATAAAAGGAACACGAAATTTACGTGGTATCCTCAACAAGTATCGTTGAGGCTAATCCACAAAGAGGGAAAAACCTCTCGGAGTCAATGATATTACGTAGCTTCAGAATGCTTAAGGTTTACAGACGGCTTAACCAACGTATATGTGCTTAAGGTTTACAGCCGCCCACTAACCATAGGCCGACAGCTTATTATTAACCGATATAAGATGACGATCAATTACAATACAATACCAGATCTGTTACTTCTAACAGATCCTAGGTATCCGAACCTACAACCAGGGGCGGACGTACGGATCATTGGGGGTGTCCCGAGACACCCCTAAATTTTTGGAAAACAATTATCCAACCCCCAATGGTAAATTACGTATGGACAAAAAAATTATAATCAATAGTAGGGGACACCCCTGAAATTTGAAAAAAAATAATTATCCTACTCTCATCTTTAGTTTGCTTATGGGAATATAAGTTGTAGTTTGAGTAATTCCAACCTAGGACACTATTATTATTAATAAAAATAATTTTATTCAGACGACAACTCATATTTTGTTCGATTTTAAACAATGTGTAATAGTAAAATGCCATTCCCTATCTCTAATTATTTTCAAAACCTAACAATTAAATAAATTATTTTAAACAATGTTGTACGACAAGTGTTGAAAGATTCATTTCAGATTTGAGTTACATCGAGAACAAGTGTAAAAATTGAATGTGTGATCAGTTCGTGAATAATTCTAGTAGGATACACAAAGACAATGTGTTTTAGCAATGTAGACACCAAGTATATTTTACAGTTAATTTCGAATATGAAAACACATCGTGGACTTTTTTTTAACTCGTATGATTCAGGTATTATCTTATATAAGAATTTTTTTTGATTTATGTTTTAAAAGAGGACATCCCTATGTAAAATTTCTAGGTCCACCCGTGTCTCTAACAAGCCGAATTTACAATGGAGAGAATCTACAAGATATATAAAGGCAAAACATGAGTTGAAATTCTCCCATTTCAAATTTCGTGGCCTGAGAGTGATTCTAGGAAGGTCATTTTTGTCATTGCACCCAGTTCATGTTTATATATTAAAAATGTTATCGTTAGAGTTCGAACCTGGGTCAATTAAATGAAGGAAGAGCATTATAACAAACTAGACTATATTTTATTTATTGTTATTTCTTTGATTAAACTCTAGGAATATGTTTGGTGATGATGCTTCTATATTTATATTTTATCTTAAGTTATTTACGTTTTATAGAAAGAGATTAGTTTTGAAATCAAAACTCAAGTAGTATTGATTCAAACATTAATATTAAAGTGTATGTGTTGTTTAGTTTTGACAAAATACTAAAGTATAACCAAAACATGAACCTTTGTGACGAGTATAATCATTTTTTTGTGACATATCTACACATAAACTTCACATCACAGGCTAAATCGATAGATGATATTTAGCAATATAAAACGGTTGAACCACATTTAAATAATGACTTCAGTATAAAATACTTTACTAGCAACTTTTTTCGATATGATTTTACAATCTTTTGGTTCAAATAATTCTTTTACACAGGTGGAAACATAAGTTTTAAGGCACATTTTGAATTATCTATTGCAAAAAAGCATAACTCAGTTAGCGATAATGAGAATATGCAATCTCATGCAACCCAAAAGACACTTTGCAACTTCTATCTTTCTAAAATAAATGTATGCTACTCATACGGGA